CCGGTTTATGTGATTTACGAGCTCATCAAAAAGTTTTGGGTGGAAAAGGTGGAGGGCCTTGATGGATGGATGGAATGCCTGAAAATCTGCGGCACCAGAAAAAAAAAAAAATACCCCGTCCGCTCCATTCATGAGCCTGGCATTGAAATAACAGGGAGTCCTTGATTTACAACCAAAAAAAATTGCGCCCAAAATTTCTGTTGCTCAGTGAAAACTCACATCGGTGAAGGGAGTTTTGGCCCGTTTTACGACCTTCCTTGTCACCGTTGTTAAGTGAAATCACTGCAGTTGGTAAGTGAGGAACCCTGGTTGTTAAGCGAATCGGCCTTCCCGTGGACTTTGCTTGTCAGATCGCAACTGTCATAAAGCTGCAACAGTCGTAAGGGTGAAAAACGGTCTTAAGTCACCTTTTTCAGCGTTGTCGTAACCTTGGTCACTAAATGAACTGTTGTAAGACGAGGACAGTTCGTTTAGCGGCCGTTCGTAGTTACCATCACAGTGAAAAAAGTGACACACAACGGTGCCACACAACGGAGATAACATACAATAATTACAGGTAGTCCTCAATTTACAACAGTTCCTTTAGTGACCGTTTGAAGTTATGACGGCACTGAAAATAGTGACTTATGACCATTTTTCACACTCCCGACCGTTGTAGCATCTGTGGTCATGTGATCAAAATTCAGAGATGTGGCAACTGACTCATATTTATGACAGTTGCAGCGTCCTGGTGTCACATGATCCCCGTTTGCGATCTTCTGACAAAGTCAACGGGGAAACTGGACTCAATTAACAACTGTATTACAACTGATTCACTTAACGACTGGAGCAAGAAAGGTCGTAAAACGGGGCAAAATTAAAATTAAACACTGTCTCGCTGAACAACAGAAATGTTAGGCTCAATTGTGGTCGTAAGTCGAAGACTACATGTATTGGAAAAACTGAGAAACATGTCCCATCAGTGCTATTGAAATACAGGTAGTGCTCGGCTTACAATCCATTCAGTGACCGCTTGAAGTTACGACGGCAGTGAGAAAAGTGACTTATTACCAGGTTTCACACTTTTGACCGCTGCAGCATCTCCTTGGTCACGTGATCAAAATACGGACGCTTGGGCAACTGACTCATATTTATGACGGTTAGTGTCCCGGAGTTGTGTGATCCCTATTTGTATAACTTTCCAGGTGGCTTCCAACAAACAGTCGGAAAGTGAAGCCGGATTCGCTTAACAACTGCATGATTCATTTAACGACGGCAGCGATTCGCTTCACAACTGTGGCCAAAAAAAGTTTGCAAAATGGGGGGCAAGACTCAACAGCCTTTGCTTAGCCACGGAAACATTGGGCTCGGATTGTGGTCGTAAGTCGAGGACTACCTGTAATTAGTTTCAGGTGGATGGGAAAAAAAGCTTTCCTGCTCGTAAACAACTTCAGCCTTTGAGTATTAAGTCTGGGGTGTGTCTTTGTGTATGTGTGTGGGGGGGGGGGGGGGGTTTGTGTGCCGCACATATGTTTGTGTCAGTCATGCTTCATAAAGCAGACTTAATCAGTGCAAATGAGTTGACCAGAGCCGAGATGCAAATTAAATGTTTTTAAATTTAACGGACATTAATTGTAGCTAATTACAGGGAATATGATTACTCTCGTGGCGTTAATGCCAGATTTCCCCCCCACCCACCCCCGGCTGCAGTCCATCAATCAAAATAGGACTGGAAGGGGACCCTGGAGGACTTCTAGTCCAGCCCCCTACTCAAGCAGGAGACCCTAACTTTACAGCCTTGTTATTTATGTAAAAATAATGAAGGCAGAATATAAATAAATAAGTTTCTCTGTCAAATGCCCACCATGGCCACGCCCCCCCCCCCGCCCTCCGAGGTCAAACACAACCCTGATGCGGCCCTCAATGAAATGAAACCCCTGCCCTACACCATTTCTGACAGATGGCAGCACGGTCTCTTCTTGAAAACCTTCAGTGATGAAGCATTCACAACTTCTGGTGGCAAGTAGTTCCACTGGTTAATTGTTCTCACTGTCTTAGTTCCAGGTTGCTTCTTCTCTTTTCTCCTCTCCTCTCCTCTCCCATTCCATTCCATTCTCAATATTCTATTCTATTCTATTCTATTCTATTCTATTCTATTCAAATTCAAATTCTATTCTAAATAAAGATTCTATTGTATTCTATTCTATTCTCAATAAAGATTCTATTCTATTCTATTCTATTCTCAATAAAGATTCTATTCTATTCTATTCTATTCTATTCTCAATAAAGATTCTATTCTATTCTATTTTATTCTCAATAAAGATTCTATTCTATTCTATTCTCAATATTCTACTCTATTCTATTCTCAATAAAGATTCTATTCTATTCTCAATAAAGATTTGATTTGATTCTATTCTATTCTATTCTCAATAAAGATTCTATTTTATTCTATTCTCAATAAAGATTCTAGTCTCTTCTATTCTCAATAAAGATTCTATTCTATTCTATTCTCAATAAAGATTCTATTCTCAATAAAGATTTGATTTGATTCTATTCTATTCTCAATAAAGATTCTATTCTATTCTATTCTATTCTATTCTATTCTATTCTATTCTATTCTATTCTATTCTATTCTATTCTATTCTATTCTATTCTATTCTATTCTATTCTTTGATTAGTTTCCATCCATTGTTTCTTGTCTTGCCTTCTGGTGGTTTGGAAAATAAGTTGACTTCCCATCTTCTTTGCAGCAGCCCCTCAAATATTGGCACCATCATATTTCTCTCCCCCCACCCCGGTCCTTTTCTCTAGACTGGCCAATCCCAATTCTTGCAACCGTTCTTCGTATGTTTTAAATCTCCAGGCCTTTAAATCATCTTAGTTGCTCTTCTCTGCACTTTTTTTTTCCTCCCAAAGGCTCAACATCTTTTTTTTTATTCTGTGGCAACCAAAAACTGGATGCAGGATTCCAGCTGTGAAAAACAGTCGCAAGTCACTTTTTTCACCGCCGCCGTAACTTTGGTCGCTAAAGGAACTGTTGTAAGTCGAGGACTACCTAGCTTTGAACTGAAAGAGGGTTAAGAACATGTAAAATTCTCGCCTAACCCGAAATTTCCAAAACTGGTTTATCCTTTTTATCCTACCGAACGACGTCATTCCACATTTTTTTTCTATGCACCTGAACTAGAGATTCCGGCGCCTGGCATTAAGTCTCAGGAGTGCCTCGCGTCGCCTTGCCCTCCTGTAACATACCGTAGCTTGCTCGAAATCTGCTCAGGCTGGCATCAATATGTCGTTTTCACACATCCCTGGAGAAATTTATAACAGTGTTCACTCACTTCTCTTTCTACCATATGGTTTCTGTGGTATTTTTTTTTTTTAATTTCCCAGGGTTTTTCTTTAAAGAAAATGAGTTTTTTTGTTCTTTTTCTGCCTGCGGCACCGGTTGTCCCCGACTTACAATCACTCATTTAGCGACCGTACCGTAAAGTGGTGCGGTGGCCTGGAGGTGGAGCTCTCGCCTCACAATCCGGAGGCTGTGAGTTTGATCCTAGGTAGAGGCAGATTTTTCTCTCTCTGGGCACAATGGAGAATAAACTCCTCATTGGCAACAGGGAAAGGCATCCGGCCATGAAAACATTCTGCTGGCTCCATTCAGTTTGCCAGACTCCACCTCACAAAGGATTATGGGGTCGTTAAATGATGATGATTTAGTGACCATTCCATTAACACGGCACTGAAAAAGTTACTTATGTCCAGTCCTCACACTTACAACCATCATAGCATTCCCAAAGGAGCATGTGATCAAAACTTGGGTGCTTGGCAACGGGCATAGATGACAGTTGCAGTGTATCGGGATCACATGATCCCCTTCTGCAATCTTCCCAGGTGGCTTCTAACAAGCATGGGGAAAGCCGGATTCGCTTAATGACTGCCTGCTTCGCTTAACAACTAGCGGTGATCTGCTTAAGAACCGTGGCAAAAAAGGTTGAAAAATAGGGTGCGACTCACTTAACGACTTCCTTGTTTAGCAATGGAAACTCTGGCCCCAATTGTGGTCATAAATCGAGGACAAGAGCAAACCGGGGAACAGACAAATTTAATTCTGTGGTTAAATCAGACACAAAATTGCAGGAAGTCCTTGATTTATGATTACAATTAGGATTAGAACTTTTATGCAGTCACTAAGTGAGTCGCACCCAATTTTATCTTTGCCACAATCGTTAAGTGAATCACGCAATCATAAAGCAAATCAAACTTCCCTTATTGACTTTGCTTGGAACCTGGGAAAGACGTTAATGATGATCACATGACCCCAGGACACCTCAACGGTCGTAAATATATGTCAGGCACCTGTCTTAAAGCATGCAGGATGGAATTGTGGGAGTTAGAGTCCACCCATCTTAAAGCATGCTGGCTAGGGAATTCTGGGAGTTGAAGTCCACCCCTCTTAAAGCAGGCTGGCTGGGGGATTCTGGGAGATGAAGTCCACCCATCTTAAAACATGCTGGCTGGGGAATTCTGGGAATTGAAGTCCACTCACCTTAAAACATGCTGGCTGGGGAATTCTGGGAGTGGAAGTCCATCCCTCTTAAGGCCTGCTGGCTGGGGAATTCTGGGAGATGAAGTCCACCCATCTTAAAGCATGCTGGCTGGGGAATTCTGGGAGTGGAAGTCCATCCCTCTTAAGGCCTGCTGGCTGGGGAATTCTGGGAGATGAAGTCCACCCATCTTAAAGCATGCTGGCTGGGGAATTCTGGGAGTTGAAGTCCACCCATCTTAAAGCATGCTGGCTAGGGAATTCTGGGAGATGAAGTCCACCCATCTTAAAATATGCTGGCTGGGGAATTCTGGGAATGGAAGTCCACCCATCTTAAAACAGGCTGACTTAGGAATTCTGGGAATGGAAGTTTGCCCATCTTAAAGCATGCTATCTGGGTTTTTTGGGGGGACTTGAAGCCTGTCTAACTTTAAAACGTGCTAGGTAGGAGTTGATGTCCACCCACATTAAAATCACCAAGTCTGAAAAACACGGATTTATTGCAACCTCTTCAAGCCCCCGAGCACCTTTGCAAGAAATCCTGCCCCCTTGCCCCTTTTCAAAAGAGTTTCCAACATCACACAGGGAAAAAAAAGAAAATAATAAAGGAAACAGGAGTCACGCAATTAGCCAGCCGAGTGTCCAGTTTTATCTTACGGATCTCAAGAAAGTCCTTCGATGTTTTCGATGGAACCTTCGGACTCGCTGAAACTTTCTTCGGCTCCCCCTTTCATCTCGATGTTCCCGTGGTGGGCACAGCTCAGCTCCCCCCTTCAAGGACAGAGAAGCCCGTGTCAATGGCAGCTTTTGCAAGCGCTCGAAGGGCGAAGCAAACATCGGCATGCGTAATTTATCAAAGAGGGGGAATATAACCAACGGCTCGTCCTTAGCTCCAAGAAAAAACTAGAACTGTGATGGCGAAACTATGGCACGCGTGCCACAGGTGGCACACGGAGCCATATCGGTGGGCATGCGAGCGTTACCCTAGCTCAGCTCTGGCGCGCATGTGCACGCCAGCCAGCTGATTATCGAGCCTTCCGGGCCCACCGGAAGTCAGGAAATGTTCTGTCCCCGTCTCACACACGCACACAAACAGATATCGAGGGGTTAAATAAAACTGGCAGACAACAAATTTTTTCAATAAGAGGATTGGCAGCAACCCAGTTAACTGCTTGCCAAGAACTTTACCCATAAAGGGAGGGGTTGTTCCTCCGACAGATAAACCCAAACAAGATACACACAGTTCAAGAATTGTCAAGTCCAGTCCGTATTAAATCCAAGGCAGGTAACGTTGTTGCAAAGATACAATGTGACTCGCTAGTAGTTAGTTTTGTCCGTCACAGAGTCTGAATGGCCACCTCACCCCCTTTTATCCCCTGTGGGGTGTGGTCCAGTGACTCAGCTTAATCTCTGGCACGCCTCCTTTTCTGCTGCGTGCACTTGTCTCTCCGACGCTGGCGTGGATCCAGCCAAGACTTATCTCCATCACTGTCCGACTGTGAGGAGATACCTGGCTCCTGGCCAATCTCTTCTCCTTCGGGAGACACCTGAGGCATTGCCAGAGAGGAGGGTCGTGGAGAGGGAGGCCTGGCCAACTCCTCTCCTTCATGTTCGGAACCTTCTCCCTCCGATAACTCGGGCTTGGGGGTCGGAGTCACAACAGGAAACAGGCTGGAGGGCTGGAGGGGGAGGGAAGGCCCGTTTTTCGCTCTCCCCAGGCTCCAGAGGCTTTCTAGGTCCCACCAGAAATCAGCAAACAGACTGTTTCAAGCCTCCAGAGGGCGTCCGGTGGTGGTGGTGGTGAGGAAGGCCGTTTTCGCCTTCCCTAGGCTCCAAGAAAGCCTCTAGAGCCTGGGGAGGGCGAAAAATGGGCCTACTGCACAAGAGTGGAAGTCCACCCCTCTACTGACTGGGGGATTCTGGGAATGGAAGTCCGACCCATTGTAAAAAAAAAAACTGGCTGGGGAATTCTGGGACGTAAAGTCTAACCACCTTAAAGTCCCTGAACTTGACAAACCCTGATCTTGGCGTCTCTACCCACGCCAAGCATTTGAGGGGGAAGACCGATTTGACGGGCAAGCAGCACCCTTACCTCTGGATGGCATCTGACAGGCCCTTATTGATGTCATGGCTGTCGGCAGTTGGACAAAGAAACTCCAACACTTTGTCAAGGCTGGAGTTAGCTCTGCAAAATAATAAAAGGAAAGGAAAAAAGAGAGAGAGAGAAAAAAAGGAAAGACCATGAGCAAGGACAACAGCTGTTGGACTGACTGGCAAAGAGAGAAAGAGAGACAACTGGTTGTTGTTGTGTTGTTGTCATTTGCACGCCCCTCCAGCTGATGGCCTTGGATAAACCCATCCAGAGCCATTTGCTAACCTGCCCGCTTTTACAAGGTTAATCTAAACGGGCAGCGAGCACAGATTGTGCCTCGCAGGGAGCAGTTGCAAGGCCTGGCCGCAACCAAAAGATTAACGTTGAATAACAGAGTTGGAAGGGACCCTGGAGGTCTTCTAGTCCAACCCACAACTGCTTGTTGTGACCTAGGCCCAAGTAGTTATTGCCAGACACAATCAGTCCTAAACAAACATGTTTTATTAGAACAGCTGAGAATTACTTCATTCTCAGCTTAGTCCAAAATAAAAAGTCCTTCAGAAAAAGTCCTTCGGCCTTATCACAAACCTTTATCTTCTTTGGCACCCTGCCAAAGGCTTTTCATGGCAAAGCCCCACAAAGTTCAGGAACAAGACAAGAAACAAATGTAGCAACGTTGCTTTCCTACAAAGAGCCCAAGAGTTTGCTGCTCTTTTAAGCCTTATGGGAGGGGCCAATCATCTCCTGGCTTTACTTCTGAGTCGTCCCTTTTGCTTTAGCTGCTCTTGCCTTCTGGCAGCTCTTTGCATGAGTGCACTAGGAACAGGCTCCTCCTGTTCCTCTGCCTCTCTGCTATCCGCCTCTGGAGGCTCCGAAGTCCGCACATCACTCCCCGATGACCCTGGCCCCCTCTCTGCCTCTGACGCAGAGCCCTCATCCGGGCCTTCCCCAGACTCCAGGACTGGCCCATTGTCCTCCCCAGCCTCCTCACCGTCCGACTCCGCTGCCAGCTCCGCAGGCTGCTGGCGAACCACAACACTGCTCAAACAGGAGACCTTATACCATTTCAGACAAATTGTTGTCCAATCTCTTCTTTAAAAACTTCCAGTGTTACAGCAGCCACGAGTTCTGGAGGCAAACTTGTTTTGCCCCATTGTACCCCAGCCTCTTGGGACGCTTAGATACAGAGGATCCGGAGATACGGAGGATCCCGGATCTGCGCACCTTCCGCCGCGCTCTAAAGACCTTTGTCAGGTTTAAATAGTTTGTTTATTAATAGTTTATTTCATCAGGCGGGCCTGGCCTAACATTCTCCCTCTTTTTAAATAATTTTAATATTTTTACATTTTTAATATCTTTAATACTTAAAGTCTAAATTGGTTTTAAATTGATTGGGGTTTTAATTTGTCTGGGCCAAACTATTTAATTCGATTTTATTTCTGCTTTTTAATTTTTGTATGTATGTATTTTATTGTTGGCTGTTCACCGCCCTGAGTCCTTCGGGAGTAGGGCGGTATACAAATCAAATAAAAGTAAAAAGTGAAAGTAAAAAGAGCAGGAAAGGGGGTTGGGAGAAGGGGAGTGGGAGGAATTGATACAGGAAGGATACATGTCATGTGGACAGATCAATGAAGCAGCAGTGTCCGGTGGTGTTGTGGCCCATCAGTGGCCTGTGTAGATTGTAGCTGATTCTGACAGCGAGGAGGCTGGTGTGGTGCTGCGCCAGCAGCCTGTGCAGCTGGCGCTCGAGTCGGACAGTGAGGAGGCTGGAGAAGATGTGGTGCCAGAGGCGGAGATTCAGCCAGGGCCTTCACAACCACCAGAAGCTCCCTTAAGTGAAGAGGACGAAGAGGAGGAGCCTCTTCTCGATGCACGGGCGTGCAAAGCAGCCAAAGGGCAGGAGTGGCTCCTCAGGAGGAGGTCTCCTCGAGAGTAAGGCTTGGGGCTAATTGGCCATTCCCTTAGCCTATTTAAGAAGGAACGCCACTTGCAACAAGCTGTAGAGAACAACTTTAGTTCTCTCTCCTTCGTGTCTGCAAAATTGTTTCTGGGCTTTCTGCCAACTCTAGTAAGACTGTGATTACCTTATCTTAGAATTCTGGCAGGCTGTTGAGACAGTTCATTAACAGCCTTTGAATGATAAAGACTGAGTTATTTGAGTAAAATAAGCTTTGTATAGAGTTTGTGTGTGCTGCGTTCTTTGGGGTCCGTCGCTGGGGCAGAACAGGTGGGAAGTTCAATAGAGGAAGCAGAATACCGATAGTTCTCGACTTACGACCACAACCGAGGCCACGTTTCCGTTGCTAAGCGAGACAGTTAAGCGAGCTTTGCCCCATTTTATGACCTTCCTTGCCACAATTCTTCAGCGAATCCCTGCAGGTGTTAAGTGAATCCAGCTGCCCCACTCACTTTGTTCGTCAGGAGGTCGCAAACGGGGATCTCCCTGCAACCATTGTGCTGACATGCCCGTTGCCGAGCGCCTGAATTTTGGTGACGTGACCATGGGGCATGCTGCCAACGGTGGTTGAGGGCGGAAAAACGGACATCAGTCACTTTTGGCATGGCCCTAAGTGCGAGGATGCCTTTCCTCAGCACAGTAGGAACGGTTACTAAAGGAATGGTTGTAAGTCGAGGACTAGCTGTATAATTTATTTATAATTTATTTTATTTATTGGTTCGATTTATATGCCGCCCTTCTCCGGAGACTCAGGGCGGCTTACAATGCTTTTAAGCAATAGCCTTCATACTTTTGTATATACCTGCTTAGTAGGGCTTTCGCCCCCCCCCCAAGCGGTGTTCTTTTTTATACAAAGTCATCTTATTGCCCCCACAATCCGGGTCCTCATTTTACTTACCTCAGAAGGATGGAAGGCTGAGTCAACCTTGAGCCTGGTGAGATTTGAACTTGCAGTAATTGCAGGCAGCTGGTGTTACTTAACAGCTCTTTAGTCTGCTGCGCCACCAAGGCTCTGGTGTTAACAAATACATCACTGGAGATGTTTTTAAGAAGAGATCGGACAGCCATTTGTCTGAAATGGTATAGGGCCGTAATGGCGAACCTAGTGGCACGCGTAGCCATATTGGTGGGCACGTGAGCTCAGCTCCGGCACACTAGTGCATGCCAGCCAGCTGATTTTCGGGCCTTCTGAGCCAGGGGTGGGTTCTAATTTTTTTTACTACCGGTTCTGTGGGCATGGCTTATTTTGTGGGTGTGGTTTGGGGGGGGGTCATGTGACTAGGTGGGCGTGGCTAGCTGGTCAGAGTCATTTCTGGAAGGTCCTCGCACTTACGACCAGTCCTCGCACTTACGACCCGACTCATTTGTTTGCTTTTAACACTGATCAGCTGTCGGGTGGCCCTTTGAAGCCCCGCGGCAAGAGTTTAAACAGTTTTCTTTCCCTCTAGTCATCAGCTGGGACTCAGGAGGCAGCAATAGATGGGGGTGGGACCAAATAAAAGGTAAGAATAACATGGGTGGGTGGGTGGGAGGGCGGGGGGGGGAACCGGTTCGGTGACGTCATATCATCACCGCTACTGGCTCGGCCGAACCGGACTGAACCGGGAAGAACCCACCACTGTTCTGAGCCCACCGGAAGGGAAACAAGCCGTTTCCTGCCTCCAGAGGGCCTCGGGGGATGGTCGGGAAGGCTGTTTTGCCCCCCCCCCAGCTCTATTCGGATTCTGATTCTGAAATTTTAAATTCTGATTTAAATTTTCTTTTTTTTGGACCCCTGCTCGTAGAAGAATACGATCTCCTGTTTTTCTCCTCCTGTTCAAGAGATGCTCTCCTACCTTTCTGTATCTTCTCCCAGACAGACGCTTTCCCTCAACCAGAGGCTGTCGTCCGGTTTGATCGCGTTGGGCGCTTCCTTTTCTTCCGGCTTCCCTGCTTCTTTTGAATCCAGTGGATCAGGATCTCCTGATGAAAACACAGCGGGGGGGGTGTCAATTTAGAAGCATGGTGTGGTGCGTTCAGTCAGGCAGGTCACACAGTCCTTCCTTCTTCCTCCCTCTCTCCTTCCCTTTTCCTTCCTTTCCTTCTTCCTCCCTCCCTCCTTTTCCTCCCTCCCTCCCACCCAGGGGTGGGATTCCAAAATTTTAGCAACCGGTTCTCTGCCCAATTGCTGGGTGGGGGTGGCCATGGTGCCAGCCTCTACTTAGCCTCCTGCACCACCGGGGGACGCGTTTTGACCCTCCCCAGGCTCCGGAGGCTTTTCTTGAGCCTCTGGGAGGGTGAAAATGGCCTCCCCGGGCTCTGGAGGCCCTCCAGAGGCCAAAAACGGGCACGTTTCTAGACTTCCGGAAGGCCCGTTTTTCACCCGCCCCAAGCCTCCGCGTGGGCACTGCGTTTACCTGGCATCCAAAACGGGCCACATGGGGATTCCTGGGAAGGGAGGGGCAGGGTGGGCGGGGCCAGCCAGTCCTTGCAACTACCTGTTCGGTGAACCAGATGTAAAATTAGCATCCGGTTTGCTTGAATAGGTCAAAACCGGCTGAATCCCAGCCCTGCTCCCACCCTTCCTCTCTGCCTCTCTCCTTCTTCCCTTTTCCTTCCTTCCTCCCTCCCTTTCCCCCTCCCTTCCTTTTTCCCTTTTCCTTCCTTCCTCCATCCCTCCTTTTCCCCATTCTTTCCTTTTTTCCCTTTTCCTTCCTTCCTTTCCCCATTCCTTCCTTTTTTCCCTTTTCCTTCCTCCCTCCCTCCCTTTCCCTCTCCCTTCCTTCCTTTTCCATTTCCCTTCCTTTCTCCCTCCTTTCCCCTCTCCCTTCCTTCCTTTTTCCCTTTTCCTTCCTCCCTCCCTCCCTTTCCCCATTCCTTCCTTTTTTCCCTTTTCCTTCCTCCCTCCCTTTCCCCATTCCTTCCTTTTTTCCCTTTTCCTTCCTCCCTCCCTCCTTTTCCCCCTCCCTCCCTCCCTCCCTTTTTCCCTTTTCCTTCCTTCCTCCCTCCCTTTCCCCCTCCCTCCCTTCCTTTTCCCTTTTCCTTCCTTTCTCCCTCCTTTTCCCCCTCCCTCCCTCCCTTTTTCCCTTTTCCTTCCTCCCTCCCTCCCACCCTCCCTATCCTGCCTTTATTATTATTTTTACAAACAACTCAAAGTGGCAAACATATCCAACAGATCTTTCTCCTCCGAATCTCCCCACAACAACAACTCTGTGCAATGGGCTAGCCAAGAGAGAGAGAAAGGGACTGGCCCAAAGTCACCCATCCAGCTTTTACCACTAAGGCAGGACTAGAACTCACCATCTCCTAGTGATTGGACCAAAGTCACCCAGTTGGTTTTCACGCCTAAGGCGGGACTAGAACTCACTCTCTCCTGGTGATTAGCCCAAAGTCAACCAGTGTTGTGACTCCGACTCCCGAGCCTGTCCTCATGGAGGAAGAGGACTCAGAAGGTGATGGGGAGGAACTGACAAGGCCTCCCTCTCCAGGACCCTCCTCTCTGGCAATGCCTCAGGTTCCATCCGAAGGCCAGGAGGAACAGCCTGGGATGGGCCAGGAGGAAAGCATATCGGAGCACCCATTGATAGGGAGCGAGGATGATGAATCCTGGCTTGATCCCAGGCAGCGGTGGAGGGAGAAGCGTGTGCAGCAAAGGAAGAGGCGTGGGAGGGCCCGAGGTTGAGCTGAGTCACTGAGCCACGCCCACAAGGGATAAAAGGGGGCGTGATTGCTCGGCAGGCTTTGTGATGGACAAAAGTTTAAATTCTAAAGAGTCACATTGTGAATCCTGCACTTCGGCTCAGATATATTTTGGACTAAACTCTTGTGGATAATTTGTCGCTCTGGAAACGGACTGCAGATAAGGCCTCTCCTGCTTTTTGGGAGTACTGATTGGACTTGGCAGGCGTTTTACAGTTAGCTGCCAGAACTCTAGAAATTCTGGTCTGTTTATTATTATTATTATTTTTTATTATTATTTATTTGATTTGTATACCGCCCTACTCCCGAAGGACTCAGGGCGGTGAACAGCCAAACAATAAAATACATAGATACAAAAAATTTTAAAAACCAGATAAAATCGAATTAAATAGTTTTGGCCCTAACAAATTAAAACACCCCAATAATTTAAAACAAATTAAAATTTACATATTAAAAAAGAGGGAAAGGATTAGGCCAAGCCCGCCTGGTGGAATAAAAAGGTCTTCACAGCGCGGCGGAAGGTGCGCAGGTCCGGGATCCTTCGTATCTCCGGGGGAGCTCATTCCAGACAGTAGGTGCCCCCACAGAGAAGGCCCTCCCCCTAGGGGCCGCCAGTCGACATTGTTTGACTGACGGCACCCGGAGGAGTCCCTCTCTATGAGAGCGTACCGGCTGGTGGGAGGCTGCTTGTGGTAGTAGGCGGTCCCGTAAATAACCAGGTCCTAAGCCATGGAGCGCTTTAAAGGTGGTAACCAAAACCTTGAAGCGCACCCAGAAGACCACCGGAAGCCAGTGCAGCTCGCGCAGGAGAGGTGTCACACGGGAGCGCCATGTTGCTCCCATAACCAGCCGCGCGGCCGCACTCTGCGCCAGTTGGAGCCTCCGGGTGCTCCTCAAGGAGAGCCCCATGTAGAGAGTGTTACAATAGTCCAGGCGGGAAGTGACGAGGGCATGAGTGACTGTGTGTAGGGAGTCCCGATCCAGAAAGGGACGCAACTGGCGAATCAGGCGAACCTGATGAAAAATCCTCCCAGTCACGGCTGTCAAATGCTCTATTTATTGTTTATACAATAAATTATTGGCAGGCATTGTTTGATACTGCATTTGTCTGTGTGAGGACGGGGGACAGAACAACCAGCTGGCTTTCAGGCCTAAGGAGGAACTAGAACTCACCGTCTCCTGTTTTATCGCCTGGCACCTTAATCGCTAGACCAAACTGTCCCTGAACAAATGTCCAACCTCATCCGTTAGGGCTTCATATCAACAAAATCCAACATATAACAATATGGAACGGTTAATCACAATGGTTCTTTGCGGGATTAACCTCCCGCATCCCCTTTTATTTTAAAGAAAAAGGAAGAAGATATTTAATTGACGGTGGCCTGTAGGAAGCTACAAGAAAGGAGCAAAAAGAGGAAGTCAGCTTCGGACAATTCTTTCTTGCTCTGATCGCTACTATGACGATTTTTCTAATTGGGCCAATCAAGAAAAAAAATATTAACTGATTCCCAGAAGAGACGATGCATGACAAGATTTGAGCGAATTCAATGACCACTGGATTAAACAGTCAGGAGGTGTCAGATATTAAACTATCCCCGTTCCACGAGAGCCTCAGTGGAAGATGGGTCCTGTAGTGGGAAACCAGCACTGAGCAGGTTGGAGTATTTGGTAACCCTCCAATTCGATCACAGAAGAGAATATGCTACCAAGGGATGAGAATATATTTGTAGCTCAGGGTTGAACTGTGGGATCCCTGAGGTTCTCTGAGCCTGATGGATTTTTTGCAGACATTTCATTACCCAGTTAGGTTACATCATCAGTGTTGGAGGAGTGGGGGGTGGTGTTGCTCTCAGACACTGCAACTGGTTGCAAAGAAATGTTGTGTTTGTGTGTTTGTGTATGTGTATGTGTGTGGTATGTTTTATGCTGGCCAGAAGTTTTGAGCCTATCCTAATTTCCAACGGTTGCTAAGTGACAAGTCAGCCGTAAATCAAGGACTACCAGTACAACGATGTCAATCACAGCAACCAAGCCTATGGATGGAATCAACGGATTTTACATATACAGGTAGTCCTCGATTTACAACAGTTCGTTTAGTGACCATTTGGCAGTCATAACTGCACCGAAAAAAGGGACTTAGGACCGTTTTTCACACTTACGACCGCTGCAGCATCCCCCGGGGGTCAACATTCAGAGGCTTGGCAACTGACTCGCATTTATGACTGTCGCAGTGTCCTGGGGTCACGTGATCCCCTTTTGCGACCTTCCGACAAGGAAAGCCGGATTCACTAAACAACCATGTTACTAACTTAACAACTGCAGTGACTCGCTTAACGACGGTGGCCAGAAAAGCCGTACAATATGGGAAACTCACTCAAAAAATGTGATTCACTTAAACAAGGTAAATTTCCAGCCTGATTGCGGTCGTAACTCGAGGCCTACCTGCATGTAAAACCTACCAGCTCGTGTAAGAGCAGAGCAGGGTGCGATTAAAATACTAGAGCGAATACACGGGGTTTTTTAATATTAAAACCGAGACTCTGCGGTAGGAGGTAAAAATAGAACTCAAGACGAAACGATCTAATAACAAAACGATTAAAATTAAATTGCAATCCTTCGGGGTACATAAAAAGATGGTTTATTATTTATTCATTCCTCGTCTGTCAGAAACAATTAAAATGTAAAGGATAAAATAGAAACTAAATAGAAATTCCAACTCCCTCTGCATCTGTTATTTGTGGGTGGATTCAGGCTGCAACCGTACAAAACTTTGGAAAAAGCCCAGAAATTTAACAATCCAGGGACTCCTCGACTTACAACCATGTGTTTAGTGACCGTACAAAGTTACAACGCCATTGAAAAAGTGACTTAGCACCGTTTTTCACACTTAAGACCGACCGTCGCAGCATCCCTGTGGGTCACGTTATCAGAATTTCGACGCACAGCAACTGACTTGTACCTATGACCGTTGCTGTGTCCCAAGTTCTGCGATCCCCTTTTGCGACCTTCTGATAAAGCAAGTCAACGGGGAAGCCGGATTCACTTAACAACCGTGTTGCTAAATTAACGACCGAAATGGTTCACTTAACAACTATGATGATAAAAGAAAGAGAAGATTCAGAATACTTTAAGATATGGAATCAATTTTACTACTGGTTATGTTCTGCCCCAGCTACGGACCCCAAAGAACGCAGCACACACAAAGTCTGTACAAAACTTAATTTACTAAAATAGCTCAGTCTTTTTCAAACAAATAAAGTTAATAAACTTTCTTAACAGCCTACAAGAAACCAAAGATAAAGTAATCACAATCTTACTAAGGTTGGCAGAAAGCCCAGAAGCAATTTGCAGAGAATCCAGACGCGAAGGAGAATGAACTAAAGTTGTTCCCTGAAAATTGCTTCAGTCGGCATTCCTCCTTAAATAGGCTAAGGGAGTGGCCAATTAGCCCCAAGCCTTACTCTCGAGGAGACCTCCTCCTGAGGAGCCACTCCTGCCTTTTGGCAGCTCCGCGCGCCCGTGCATCGAGAAGAGGCTCTTCCTCTTCTTCCTCTTCACCCATGGAAGCTTCTGGAGGTTCTGAAGGCCCTGACTGAATCCCCGTCTCTGGCACCACATCTTCTCCAGCCTCCTCACTGTCCGACTCGAGTGCCAGCTGCACAGGCTGCTGGCGCAGCACCACACCAGCCTCCTCGCTGTCGGAATCAGCTATAATACGCACAGGCTGCTGACAGGCCACAACAGGTTAGAAAAGAGATATAAATAAGCTTTAAAAGAGATTGATAAAAAATGTTATAACTAGAATACTATATTAGTGGAAAACGTTTGTAACGGATTTGGCGAGAATGAAGATAGAAGAGATAATAGAAGAAAAGAAGTTTTTGGAGATCACACCGGGATGTCACATGGAAGAAATGAATGATGTACTAAATGTTTGTTTGTCTTAAAAAATTTAAAAAAAAACCTTTTAAAAAAAACGGTGCCAAGAAAGGTCATAAAATGGGGCAAAACTCATTTCATTGTCTTGGTTAGCAACGGAAATTTTGGGGCCAACTGTGGTCATAGATCAAGGACTACCTCGTCGTTAAAAGAATTTTTAAAGATTAAAACCGATTTTCTGCGGTCGGAAGTTAAAAGCGGAACCCAACACTAAGAGACAAAAGGACATCATAACAAAATGATTAAAAATTAAAACTGCAATCCTTCCGCGGACATTAAAAAGATTGCAACTGCTTCTGGTTAATTATTCATTCATCATCATATATCAGACATAATTAAAATGTAAACGGCAGAATACAAAATAAATACACTTCCCATTCTCTTGCTGACAAGATTCCGGCTGCAAAACCGTACAAAACTTTTGAAAGGCAGACAAAGGTCTTGCAATTTCATCATAATGCAGGCAGTCCTCAACTTATAGCCATTCGTTTACTGACCGTCTGAAGTTACAACGGTGCTGACAAAAAAATTTAAAACCCAGCCTCCTGATCGTAGCAAGCAAACGGACGTTCACACTTCTACAACATGCAAACCCACAACGTGGGAAAAGCCTCTCGTTTCGGAAAGAGGTACGGCACAGAAATATTTCACAATGAGGACTAGTCGCTTTAGAAAACCCCCAGGAGTTTGGACACAGTCCCTAGTGATGCGATCTGCAGCTCGAATGGTGAATTTAGAAAAACGGAAGAGGATTACATTTCCCCCCCCCTTTTGAAAGGACAGGGAGTCCTCAACTTACGGCGATTCGTTTAGTGACCGTTTGAAGTTACAACGGCACTGGAAAAAGGGGACTTATGATCGGTTTTCACACTTACGGCCTCGGCAGCACCCGCCAGATTACGGTGATCAAAATTCAAACGCTTGGCAACTGGCATGTACTTACGACTGTTGCAGTGTCTCATGGTCCTCTTTTTGCGACCTTCTGACAAGGAAAGCCAATTGGGGGGGGGGAAAGCCAGATTCACTTCACGACCGTGTGACTAACTTAACAATGGCAGTGATTCGCTTAACGACTGCAGCGGGAAAGGTTGTAAAATGGGGCGAAACTCACGTAACAACTGCCTTGCCTTAGCTTCGCGACAGAAATTTGGGGGCTCCGTTGCGGTCGTAGGTCGAGGACTAGCTGTAGGTATCTTGGATGCACTGGGGACACTTTTGCAGGAGCCTCAACCTACCTCTTTGGGGTGAGTTTTGCTGAGCAGAAGGAATCTCCCTTCCCGATTCTGCCAGATTCCTCGAGACAGGCAGCCAAAAGTTACCGTCCTGAAAAAGATAAAAAAGGGCAGAATTAAAAGTTGGAGGTGAGCTGGGAGGCTGGGTGGGGTTTCCGAAGGGAGGCTTGAATTGCTTTCTCCAACCCGGCGCCCTCAGAGGCTCAGGGCTTCAGCTTCCGTTATGGAGCCAAACTTATTGTCAGCACTTCAAGCTGCATTTACTCTAGTGCTGACATAGGAAGGAGAAGCGGAGGCATCTGGAAAGGGACGTTTGACTTTTCACCTACTTATTTTCCCTGGAGATAATATCCCCTAGGAGATGGGATGGGAGGGGGGAAATTCCTTTGAGCTGGAGCAGTAGATTAGGGGTAGAGTGACTTGGAAGATGGCCAATGAGTGCAGAGGAGTGGGGAAAGGAAAGGGAGGGTTTTGGGTCTGGAAGTCAGTGTTGGCTACGATGGAGTCGGAATTAGAATGTCGTGCTTAATAAATGGGAGTTTTTCATCAAAGACTTTGTTTGAAATGCAATTTATTTGAGACGACCTCGAAACCTGACACTTATCTCTGTGGGATGTCGGACACGGACTGGGTGGTAAATCTCCATCTCTGCCCTCACTGGGTTGTGAGTAGCAGCCTTTTCAATGCTGGAATTAGCTTGGCTAGGGAGGAGGAGGAGGAGGAGGAGGAGGAGGAAGAAGAGGAGGAAGAGGAGGAGGAAGAAGAGGAGAAATAGAAAGAAGAGGAGAAGCAGGAGGTGGAAGAGGAGTAGGAAGAAGAAGAGGAGGAGGAGGAGGAAGAAGAAGAGGAAGAAGAAGAGGAAGAGGAGGAGGAAGAGGACAAATAGAAAGAAGAGGAGAAGCAGGAGGTGGAAGAGGAGGAGGAGGAAGAAGAAGAGGAGGAAGAAAAGGAAGAGGAAGAGGAGGAGGAAGAAGAGGAGAAATAGAAAGAAAAAGAAGGGAAGCGGGAGGCGGAAGAGAGGACGGGAAAAAGGAGAGGAGAGAAGAAGAAAAAGGGAGGAGGGGGAAAAAAGGAGAATAGGAAGATGAGGAGATGGAAAAGGAGGAGGAGAAGAAAGAAAAGAAGGAGAAGGAAGAAAGGAGAAGAGGAAAAGAAAACGAAGAGGAGAAAAAAGAGAAGGGGGAGAGGACGAGGAGGAGAACAGGAGAAAGAGGAAAGAAAAAAAGAGGAAGAGAAGAAGAAAAAGGGAATAGAAAGAAAAAAGAGGAAGAAGGGAGGGAAGAGGAGGGAAAAAAGAGAAAGAAAAGAAAAGAATAAGGACAAAAAGGAAGAGGAGGAGATAGAGAAGGAGAAGAAGTGAGGGAAGAGGAGGAGAGAAGAAAAAGAGGAAGGAGGAGGACAGAAAAGGAGAGGAGGAGAAAAAGAGAAAGAAGAAAAGAATAAGGACAAAAAGGAAGAGGAGAAGAAGAGATGGAGGAGGAGGAGAGGAAGAGGAGGAGAAGGAGAATTCTGCAGGTTTCTCACCTCCACACAAACCACAACTACAACTACACAACTACAAGTTTTGTCTGAAACTCCCCACTTCCACCTGGGAAAACTTCAGTCTGGCTTTAGTCTGTCTTAGAAGGAGACTCCAGATTGAGGTCATATTGCTCCTCAAATGTACCTTCCCTGCGCCTTTGTGCCTGTGTGTTTGTGTGTCCGTGCCTGCCCAGAGCAACACAATTACCTGCAGCCGGGAACCTACCTGCCCGCTCGGCAAATTGCTTCTTCTTTGAAAACCATCCTTGCCAGGGGAAAATTAGAGTTCCTCTATAGAGCCAAGGCGGCTTTGCAATTGTGCGTGGTTGTAACTTTTTATTTCCTTGAGCTTATATATATATATAAACTTACATAAACAAATATATATATATATATATATATATATATATATATATATATATATATATATATATGTTTTCTGAGGTTTTCGCGGGTGTTTGTATGTAGGTCTTTGGTTATTCGGGTTTTCTCCCGCGTAAAATTGTTCACACCCCCACTGGCAGTTAAAAGGAAGAAACAGCTGCGATCACACACATTGCTCCTAGAAGCACGAAGCCGAAGACACCAGCCTGAAGATGACGAATGAGACTTCGTTGAAACGTTGCCAAGAAACCTCCAATTTTACGCGGGAGAAAACCCGAATAACCAAAGACCTACATATATGTGTGTGTGTGTGTGTGTGTGTGTGTGTTTCTTCTAGCCAGGTTTTCCCTACGTAACCAAGGTTTATATATATATATAAAACCTGGCAGGTTCAATCTTGTTCTTTCACCGGAGTGTATTTTGCCAGCGGTTGTTAAAGCCTAAGTGCCTAGTAACGGATAAAATAGCTACTAATGGAAAGAATATCGTACAAATTACATTTTATCCCCTGAGCGGTAGCTGATTAACTAAGCCGAAGGCTGTTTGTGGAGACAAGCTCCTTTCAATTGTATCCTGTGGGAAATTTTTGCCTTTAAAAAGCCTTTAAACCTTTAAAAAAAAAAAAAAACGTTGTCAAAAATCATCCTTTTGGCTACTCTTTTTGGCAAGTTGGTCGCCTGGTAGCTAAACTGCTAGGTTCGCCTGAATCCATGTCGTCCTTGACTTACAACTGTTTGTTTAGTGACCGCTCGAAGTCACAACGGCACTGAAAAAAAGCGACTTACGATGTCTCCTACCCCCCACCCCCCCGGTCGCAGCATCTCTGGGATCAAAATTCACACGCTCGGCAACTGGCGTGTACTTGTGACAGTTGGAGTTTTCCTGGGGTCGTGTGACCGCCCTTCTGACAAAGTCAATGGGGGAAGCCGGATTCGTTTTAACAACCGTGTTACCGGGGGTGAAATCTAAATATTTTTGCTACTGGTTCTGTGGGCGGGGCTTAATTAGTGGGCGGGGCTTGGTGGCAAGGTGACTGGGTGGGCGTGGCCAAGTCAATGTCACTTCTTTGCCCTTTTTTAACCTACAAAACCCAACACAACACAACTGGCTCACCCACAATGTAAAAGCAGCTGTGCTAGACCCAAAATGGCCCCGGCAACAAGCAGGAACCTCACACAGCCACAAAAAGCCCCAAAAAACAACTTTCATACTTTACACACACAAAATTCCACATACAGCTTTGTGAGGTTTTGTGTGTTTGTGTAGTTAGAGTGAAACACTACAGAAACACACTAAATCTCAGAAAGCTGCACAAATATTATTTTATTTTATTTTTATTTTTATATAAAAGCAGCTAAATTTAAAACTTCCTAAACTTTAAATGGCTAGGTCTAAAAAAAGAACAACTGAAAAAAAACCAATTAACTATTTTTTTTAAAGCTCCCAAAGGGGAAAAAACTTACTCAATAGAACAGGGGTCTCCAACCTTGGCAACTTTAAGACTTCTGGACTTCAACTCCCAGAATTCCTCAGCCAGCTTTGCTGGGAGTTGAAGTCCACAAGTCTTAAAGTTGCCAAGGTTGGAGACCCCTGCAATAGAAAGTACAAGGCAGGCAGGAAGGCAGGCAGGCAGATAGAGCTGCTCACCAATGAGCTTGATTGCAGGCAGGGAGATTCAGTTGCTTGCTGATGCAATGGATTGCAGGGATTACAGCAAGCGAAGCAAGACAGGCGTTGCGACCAGCAGCTAAAGTAAGCAAGCTGGAAGCTTGTGGGGGGGGGGGGGATTTTTGCTACCGGTTAGCAGGCAACTCAGCTGGGATCGTCAGAGCCATTTAGAAGAAAAAAAAAACGGTCTGATGATCGCGCGGCTCAGCTGGGCATGGGGGGTGGGGGCAGAGATTTTTGCTACCGGTTCTCCGAACTGCCCGCCGCCATCGCTACCTACTCGCCCAAGCCGGTCTGAACCGGGAGCATTTCACCCCTGCGTGTTACTGACTTAACTAGTGTATGGATTCAGTTAACAATGGGGGGCAAAGTTCACTTATCTCTCTCACTTAGCAATAGAAATTTTGGGATCCATCGTGGTCGTATGTCGAGAACTACCTGTAATCGAGGCCGCATGTAGAGAGGTACAGAGAGACATCAGTACAGACAGCTACCGAATTAAAATGCCAAGATGAAAAAATAAGAGAAAATAGGACTAGGGGGTGACATGATAGCAGTCTTTTTTAACAGATTAACAGAGTTGGAAGGGACCTTGTAGGTCATCTAGTCCAACCCTCCGCCTAAACCATTTCTTCCAATATCTCAGGGGCTGCCCCAAAGAAGAGGGAGTCAAGCTATTCTCCAAAGAACCAAGGCAAGACAAGAAGCAACGGGTGGAAACTAATCAAGGAGGGAAGCAACTTAGAACTAAGGAGAAATTTCCCAACAGTGAGGATAATTAACCAGTGGAACAGCTTGCCACCAGAAGTTGTGGGTGCTCCATCACTGGAGGCTTTTAAGAAAAGACTGGAGAGCCATTTGTCTGGAATGGCATAAGTTCTCCTGCTTGATCAGGAGGTTGGACTAGAAGACCTTCCAGATCCCTTCCAGATCTGATTCATACCAAATATCTGGTTCTGAGGATCGAAACGCATAAAAAGCCTAGAATTTAAAGACACAGCACTGGAGTGAGCTTCAATTAAATTCTGCCCGAGAGCAGCCAGCACAAAAGTGGCCCAAAGGAACACTTTCAAAGAGGCTGTTATGTGCAGAGTCTGAGACAAAATCCAATTTCAACACTTACGGCAGGAATAACTTGTGTTTCCCAGCCGTCTGTCGGCAAATCTTTGTGACATTGTCTTTGCTACACACACACACACACTCAACCCTCCCTTCTTCTGACAGCGAGGAGGCTGGTGTGGTGCTGTGCCAGCAGCCCCTTGCAGCTGGCAACTGAGTCAGACAATGAGGAGGCTGGAGAAGATGTGGTGCCAGAGGCAGGGATTCAGTCAGGGCCTTCAGAACCTCCAGAAGCTTCCATGGGTGAAGAGGAAGAAGAGGAGGAGCCTCTTCTCGATGCAGGGGCGCACAGAGCTGCCAAAAGGCAGGAGTGGCTCCTCAGGAGGAAGTCTCCTCAAGAATAAGGTTTGGGGCTAATTGTCCACTCCCTTAGCCTATTTAAGGAGGAACACCGACTGAAGCAATTTGTAGGGAACAACTTTAGTTCATTCTCCTTCGCGTCTGGATTCTCCGCAAATTGCTTCTGGGCATTCTGCCAACCTTAGTAAGATTGTGATTACTTTATCTTTGGTTTCTTGTAGGCTGTTAAGAAAGTTTATTAACAGCCTTTGTTTGGAGAAGACTGAGTTATTTTAGTAAATTTAAGTTTTGTACAGACTTTGTGTGTGCTGTGTTCTTTGAGGTCCGTAGCTGGGGCAGAACAGGGACTGAAGGCTAAAACATATAAAGAACGGTTGCTGGAACTGGGTATGTCTAGTCTGATGAAAAGAAGGACTAGGGGTGACATGATAGCAGTGTTGCAATATTTGAGGGGCTGCCCCAAAGAAGATTTGGGGGTTAAGGTATTCTCCAAAGCACCTGAGGGCAGGAGAAGAAGCAACGGGTGGAAACTAATCAAGGAGAGAAGCAACCTGGAACTAAGGAGAAATTTCCTGACAATTAGAACAATAAACCAGAGGAACAACTTGCCACCAGAAGTTGTGAATGCTCCAACACTGGAAAGCCATTTGTCTGGAACAATATAGGGTCTCCTGCCTGAGCAGGGGGTTGGACTAGAAGACCTCCGAGATCCCTTCCAACTCTATGTCATTTTACAATTTCTCCGGGGACTTTGTCTGGCTCTAAGGGCGAACACGTCAACCCCGTTTCTTAGGGGAAAGGAAGAGACTCTTAAGGAGCAAAATCTTTTCAATAATTTATCCTTCCTTTCTAGCGGAGCTGTTTTTCCCACACTGAGGCTCTGCGGAGGCCATCGCAGGCCAGCAAAAACTGCAGCTCCTAATGAGCTGATTAAGCACCGCCTGGCTGAGCTGTCAATCCAAAGAGGACGGGGGTGACCAAGGGCAGCGGCTGATGGTCTCTTTCCTTGATCTACAGTTCCTCTAATTCCTTCTCCCGCTGAAGAAGCAGAGACGGCAAAGAATAGAACAGAATATTCTTTATTGGCCACGCGTGGTTGGACACACAAGGAATTTGTCTCCAAATTGCAGAGTCTCTCCATATGTGTACAAGCAACAAGTGATATATCGTGATCATCCTCTTTTAACGACCCGATAATCCCTTGCGGGATGGAGTCTGGGCAGCTGAATGGAGCTGAGTGTTTTACTGGCCGGATGCCCTTCTTGTCACCAATGCGGAGTTTTGTTTCAGCAGATAGATTCTCATTGTGCCCAGAGAGAGAAATATCTGCCTCTACCCTAGGATCGAACTCACAGCCTCCTGATTGTGAGGCCAGAGCTCCACCTCTCGGCCAGGAGCCCCTGGTTAGCGCAGCAGACGAAAAAGCACTGTTATTAACATCAGCTGCCTGCAATTACTGCAAGTTCAAATCTCACCAGGCTCAAAGTTGACTCAGCCTTCCATCCTTTCTAAGGTAGGTAAAATGAGGACCCAGATTGTGGGGGCAATAAGCTGACTTTGTATAAATATACTGTACAAAAGTATGAAGGCTATTGCTTAACGCATTGTAAGCCGCCCTGAGTCTTCGGAGAAGGGCAGCATATAAATCAAATAATAATAAAAAAAACCAAGTGATATATCCAATGTTGGAAAAGCCCAGAAACCCCTGCAGACAATATTATAATAATAATAATAAAAAAATTTTTTGGAATGTGCAGAGATTGATAGATTAACCCTAAAAATTAAAGGAAAAGAAGATTCGGACTATTTCATAACATGGGAACTAGTCTATAAATGACAGATATTGAGGTTAGAGGAGTGGAATTAGGTGAAATATGGTTTATAGGAGAAAGAAAAACAGATGAGTATATATTTATGACGGTTATATAATTGATACTATAAAGAGCCTTGATAGTACAGTGGTTTAATGCACCCTGTTATTAACACAGCTGCCTGCAATTTCTGCTGGTTCGAATCTCTCCAAGGCTCAAGGTTGACTCAGCCTTCCATCCTTTCTAAGGTAGGTGAAATGAGGACCCAGTTAGTGGGGGCAATAAGCTGACTTTGTATAAATATACAAAAGGATGAAGGCTATTGCTTAACGCATTGTAAGCCACCCTGAGTCTCCGGACAAGGGCGGCATATAAATCAAATTAAAAAAAAATAAAATAATGGAAGATAATAAAGCCAACGCAATCCTAAACAGCATTAACTGAGGGAAAAACCTTGCCAAGAAAGCTGCAAGAACCTGTCCAGGCGGTGGGCGGCAGTGAAAAAAGACATACCCCAAACCACAGTTGTGTGATTTCCTGAATCCACTTACATGTTGTACAAGCCCAGGTGATGGAAATGGGGTGGCAGGTACCTCTTCTATCCTCACCCTTGTGGCGCAGGGTGCAGGAAACGTACTGACTCCCAACAAGGAGACGTCGTGCGTAACCCAAGAGGACGTATCGATGGTCATCACGCAATAATCCTTGTATTTTGTGACGGTGGAGGAGAATGTTGGGGGTGGATTCGCTGGGGAAAGAAAAGAAAAGAAAAAAAAAAAGAGGGAGAGAAAATGGAACGGTTTTTAATCCGTCTTTTTCTTTCTCCCACGCACAATTTATTCAAACAAGTTCTAAATAAGCTCCTTTCGGTTCACCTCTGGGGAGGGAGGGGGGAATACAAATTACTGCCAGATGTTCAGACAGAGAAGATTCATTGAAATTCAATGTGGAGAAAAGGAAAGTCTTACACTTAGGCAAGAAAAACCGAAAGGACACATATAGATTGGGTGAAAACAGGCTTAATAGCAGGAACTGTGAGAGAGACCTTGGAGTCTTAGTGGACAACCAATTAAATATGAGTTAACGGTGTGTGGCAGCTGCCAAAAAAGCCGATGCAATCCTAAATTGCATTAACAGAGGGATACAATCCAGATCAAGGAAGCTACTAATACCACTCTATAAAGCCCTAGTAAGGCCACACCTAGAGTACTGCATCCAGTTTTGGTCACCACACTATTAAAAAGTTGTTGAGACTCTAGAAAGAGTGCAGAGAAGAGCAATAAAGAGGATTAGGGGACTGGAGGCTCAAACATACGATAAACGGTTGCAGGAACCAGGCATGGCTAGTCTAGGGAAGAGAAGGACCAGGGGAGACAGGAGAGCATCTTCCAATATTTGAGGGGCTGCCCCAGAGAGGAGGAAGAGGGTCAAGCTATTCTCCAAAGCACCCGAAGGCCAGACAAGGAACAATGGATGGAAACTGGACAAGGAGAGATTCAGCCTGGAAATAAGGAGAAATTTTCTGACGGTGAGAAACAATCAACCCATGGAACAGAAGTTGCCTTCGGAAGTTGTGGGAGCTTCATCACTGGAGGTTTTCAAGAAGAGACTGGACTGCCATCCAGTCTCTTCTTGAAGGGTGCTTCCCCCACATTTATTATCACTTATTGGTACTTCCACAGACCCTTGACTGACCGGGGCTGAGAGGGGTGCTGGTCTTAATGGGGGAATTCGAATTTCTGGGAGTTTTCAGCGCTGACGTCTTCGATGGGTCGTTGCAGATGATGCTAGATATTTGTTGAATATCTCCAAGGGATCTGGCCAAAACAGAACAAAATGGATGAGAAGACATCGCTGTTGGTTTCTCATCTGTCCAGAAATGCTGGACTCCAGGAATCCTATATTTTTTTTCAGCCTCTTCCTCCCAACAGCTCAATCATCTCTGCAAATACTCATGAGGATATGGACCCCTAACTAACCCCATTTTGGCTATGAGACAATCTGGAAGGTCCTAGCTCAGAATTCTAGAACAAATCAAACCACTCACATGTTAAAACCAAGGGGTTTAATTTGAAACCTTAGGATGGATTTGATTTAAGGCACCAGGATGGAAACTAGGAGATGGTGAGTTCTAGTTCTGCTTTAGGAATGAAAACTGGTTGGATGACTTCGGGCCAATCACCAGGAAATGGTGAGTTCTAGTCTCACCTATGAAAGCCAGGTGGGTGACCTCAGGCCAATCAGCTGGTGACTGTGAATTCTAGTCCTATCAGGCATGGAAGCCAGCTGGATGACTTTGGGTCAATCACCAGGCGATTGTGAGTTCTAGTCCCGCCTTAGGCATGAAAGCCAGTTGGGTGACTTTGGCCCAATCACGAGGCGACTATGAGTTCTAGTCCCGCCTTAGGCAAGAAAGCCAGCTGGGTGACTTTGGGCCAATCACCAGGCGACTGTGAGTTCTAGTCCCACCTTAGACACGAAAGCTAACTGGGTAACTTTGGTCAGTCAACAGGAGAAGGAGAGTTCTAGTCTCGCTTTAGGCATGAAAGCCAATTGGGTGACCTTTGGGCCAGTCTCTCTCTTTCTCTCAGCCCAACCCACCTCACAGGGTTGTCGTTGTGGGGAGAACACGAGGAGGAAAGAGGATGAAGTAGATTAGCCAACTCGAGTTACCAATCAAAATAAAGGACAATCAATCAAGCAATAAAATAAAGTTGCAAAACTCCGGAGAACAACGCCATTCATTGGTGCAAAACTGGGTTAAAACCGGACTCCCCAGGCCGAATCCCCCTTTTCCTCAATGAGTGACCTGTCACAACTGCACTTCCTGTGTCCCTCCCTCCCTCCCTCCCACCAAGTGAAACCAGCTCAGCTCCGAAATATCGAGAAACAATCCTTACGTGTCTTCTGCTCCGAATTCTCTCAGAGGCTCACTGAGACTTCCGTATTGCGCTGCCCCAGGGCTGCAAGGGGAATGAACACAAGTAAAGGTAAAGAATCCCCTCGCACATATGTGCTAGTCGTTCCCGACTCTAGGGGGCGGTGCTCATCTCCGTTTCAAAGCCGAAGAGCCAGCGCTGTCCGAAGACGTCTCCGTGGTCATGACTCAACGCCAAAGGTGCCCGGAACGCTGTTACCTTCCCACCAAAAGTGGTCCCTATTTTTCTACTTGCATTTTTTACCTGCTTTCGAACTGCTAGGTTGGCAGAAGCTGGGAGAAGTCACAGGAGCTCACCCCGTTGCGTGGCACTAGGGATTCGAACCGCCAAGGTTGGAGACCCCTGGTTTAGTGGATCTCTTGTCCACAATGGCGGTTTTCGCTGGAAACCAAACTAGTCTCCACGCCCCCCCCCCAAAAAAAATGTTGTAAGTCACGGTCAAAAGGGTGAAACGGTGCACATGGTCGTAAATGCAGGTCAGTTGCCAGGTGCTGGAAATGCGATCACGGGACCGCTGAGGGACACCCCCCACCCCCCCACACACACACAGACACAACACCATCATTAGGAATTTGAATCAGGAGGTCTGACGTAAATTCAAACAATTGAAACAGTGACTGGTCATATACCGAGGACTATTTTAACATAATTCCCATATGGAATGTTAGAAAGACGTTGTCCCGTGTTGGATTGGGCTCCTCGCTCGATCCGCCTAAAAACCAGGGGTCAATATTCCACCCAGGTAGTCCTCAATTTGTAACTATTTGTTTAGCGACCACCGGGAGTTACAAAAAAGTGACTTATGACCGTTTTTTCACACTGACGACCGTTGCAAGATCCTCGTGCTCACATGAAATTCAGACCCTTGGCAACTGGCATGGATTTACGACGGTTGAAGTGCCCTGAGGGGGGACATGGGATCCCCTTCTGACGAGCCCAGTCATTGGGGGAAAGCTAGATTCGCTTAACAACTGCAATGATTCGCTTAACAACTGTGGCCAAAAAATAGTCGTAAAACGGGGCACAGCTCATTTAACTATCTCGCTAAGCAAGATAGTATGATTCCAGGTAGTGGCAGATATTTCTCTCTCTGGGCATCATGAGAATATATCTGCTGAAAAAAACTCCGCATCGGCAACAGGGAAGGGTATCCGGCCAGTAAAAACTCAGCTCAACTCCATTCCAGGGGCGGGTTCTAAATTTTTTTACTACCGGTTCTGTGGGCGTGGCTTATTTTGTGGGTATAGCTTGGAGGTCATGTGACTAGGTGGGCGTGGCTAGCTGGTCAAGAGTCATTTCTGGAAGGTCCTCGCACTTACGACCACGTCCTCGCACTTACGACCCGACTCATTTGTTTGCTTTTAACACTGATCAGCTGTAGGGCGGCCCTTTGAAGCCCCGCGGCAAGAGTTTCAAACAGTTTTTTTTCCCTCTAGTCATCAGCTGGGACTCAGGAGGCAGCAATAGATTGGGGGTGGGGCCAAATAAAAGGTAGGAATAACGTGGGAGGGTGGGGGGGGGGAGAACCAGTTCGGTGACGTCATATCGTCACCACTACCGGCTCGGCCGAACCGGACTGAACCGGGAGGAACCCACCACTGCTCCATTCAGTTGTCCGGACTCTACCCCGATGCGAGGGATTTACAAGGTCATTAAAAGAAGACATTGTTAGTAACACAGTGTGGAACTTCATCTATTTATTTATTCTTAGGAAGACTTTTATTAGTAGGAACATTTATGCCCTGCCTTCAAGAAAAACGGTCTCGAAGCGGCTGTAAAATAATTCCACAGCAAACAAGCTTTGGTAACCGAAGGCAAAGAGAAAAACGGAAGGAAACGAGGTAAAAAAAAAACACAGAAGCAAAAGAAGCCGTTAAAATAATGCCAGCCCCTGTTTAAAAAAAAGAGAGATTGCCTCGGAAGGGCTGCCTAAACGTTAAATAAAAATTTCCTACCCTTTGGCAGAAGTAAACAGGTCGTTCCTCGGCAAGTTGTCATGGATATATTTCGTACCTGTCCCACAGGAATACTCTCGTCCTACGGAATGCAAGTAGGAACATGGTTAAAGGACTTGAAATAAAGATACTTCTAAAAATTTTTTTAAAAAAAATATGCATTTATTTTATTTTCTGTTATTGGCATCTCCTGCTATAGGTCAGTTGCAAAGACAATGTTTTGAAATAATAATAATAACTTTATTGTCATTGTACGTGTATACACAGTATACCTGAGGAGCCTGAGTGGCGTAGGAGGCTAATGCCTCCTACTAAGGCAGCATTTAACATCCAGCTGCCTGCAATTACTGCTGGTTCGAATCTCGCCAAGGCTCAAGGTTGACTCAGCCTTCCATCCTTTCTAAGGTAGGTGAAATGAGGACCCAGTTTGTGGGGGAAATAAGCTGACTTTGTATAAAATATACAAAAGGATGAAGGCTATTGCTTAACGCATTGTAAATCGCCCTGAGTCTCCGGAGAAGGGCAGCATATAAAAATAAATAAATAAAAATAAAAAAATAAAATAAAATAAAATAAATAATACCCATACAACGAAATTCACTTAACACCCAAAGACCAGGTCCAACACACATAACAATCCAGTGGTGAAATCCAATTTTTTTTTACTACCGGTTCTGTGGGCGTGGCTTGGTGGGCATGGTGTGGCTTGGTGGGCTTGGCAGGGGAAAGATATTGCAAAATCTCCATTCCCTCCCCACTCTGGGGCCCACCAGAGGTGGTATTTGCCAGTTTATTTATTTATTTATTGGTTCGATTTATATGCCGCCCTTCTCCGGAGACTCAGGGCGGCTTACAATGCGTTAAGCAATAGCCTTCATACTTTTGTATATTTATACAAAGTCAGCTTATTGCCCCCACAATCCGGGTCCTCATTTTACCTACCTCGAAAGGATGGAAGGCTGAGTCAACCTTGAGCCTGGTGAGATTTGAACTTGCAGTAATTGCAGGCAGCTGGTGTTACTTAACAGTGCTTTAGTCTGCTGCGCCACCAAGGCTCTCTGAACTACTCAAAATTTCCGCTACCGGTTCTCCAGAACCTGTCAGAACCTGCTAGATTCACCCCTGTAACAATCCCCAAACACACTCCCACCCACCCACCACAATTTCCCACCCCTAAACCACCCGAACATCCACACAACAGACCAAGTCATGCTGTCCAACAGCTCACTGACGGTGGCCCTTTAGTTCATGGTTGAGTGCAATTATAGCTCTGGGATTAAAAACTATTCAGAAGACGTGTGGTCCGAGTTTGAATTGTTCTGTATCTTCTGCCAGAAGGCAACAGTCCAAAAAGATTGTGAGCAGGATGGGAAGAGTCTCGGAGAATGTTATGCAACTTCCTCAAACAGCGAGTGATCTGCCCCAGCTACGGATCCCAAAGAATGTAGCACACACAAACTTCGAACAAAACTCAGTTTACTTCAAAACACAGTCTTTTGCAAATGCAGGCTGTTAATAAAACGTTCTTAACAACCTGCCAGGAATTCCACAGATAAGATAGATGTCAGCGCTTCAACGCTGGCATAGAGAGCAGAGGAGAGAGAGATAAGCTCTGAACTTTTGCCTGCTAAATCCCTTTGAAGTCGGGTGGTCGTGGAAATGAGGAGGGGGGGACATTCCTGGGAAATGACGAGACAAGAAGCCTGAAGAATGACTTGGAAGATAGCCAATGAGAAGCAGAGATTTGGGGATCGGAAAGGGAGGGATTGGTGGGGGGCAAAAGGTCAGTCTTGTCCGCATCGAGTCATGATCCGGTGGCTGTGCTCAATTAAAGAAAAGATTTCCTTAAAGATTGGCAGTTTGGAAATTCATTTATTTTGAGATAGCATCGAAGTCTGACAATAAGAGTCTTACAAGAGTTGGCAGAAAGCCCGGAAGCCAGATTTGCAGAGAAAATCCAAATTCAATGATCAGCGAACGAACGTACGTTGTTTCCTGCAGCTTTTTACAAGCTGTGTGCGAACTTAAATAGGCTAAGGGAGTGGCCAATTAGCCCCAAGCCTTACTCTTGAGGAGACCTCCTCCTGAGGAGCCACTCCTGCCTTTTGGCAGCTCTGCGCGCCCGTGCATCGAGAAGAGGCTCCTCCTCTTCTTCCTCTTCACTTAAAGGAGCTTCTGGAGGTTCTGAAGGCCCTGGTTGAATCCCTGCCTCTGGCACCACATCTTCTCCAGCCTCCTCACTGTCCGACTCGAGCACCGGCTGCACAGGCTGCTGGACCGACACCACACCAGCCTCCTCCTCGTCGGGATCAGCAACAATCCGCGCAGGCCACTGGCGGGCCACAACAACGAGATGCGAACATGTCGTCCAGGGCTGGTAGCTGGAGTCCGATGATATTCTAGGCAGTTTTAATAATTCTCTGTAGAGCTTTTAAGTCTGCTGCAGAGCTGCTCCCATACCATGCAAGAATGCCGAATGTCAGGACACTCTCAATGGTGCTGCGGTAGTAGGACAGAAGTAGATGCTGAGATAGATTTATCTTCCTGAGCATTCTCAGGAAGTACAGCCTCTTCTGTGCCTCTCCGTCTTCTGCACCATCTTTTTAAAGAGCATGGGTTTCTCCCCCTCCTCATCCCTTAATAATTGCATTTGGAATCCCCCAGGGATGCTGAAATACTTACCGAGTGCTGGTGAATATTAATACGATGTGAGACGCCCAAGACTATCTTGTCTCTCTAATAAAGGAGAATATGTGAAGATGTTGTGGCCCATCAGCGGCCTGTGCAGCTAGTAGCTGATTCCGACAGCGAGGAGGCTGGTGTGGTGCTGCGCCAGCAGCCTGAGCAGCTGGCACTCGAGTCGGACAGTGAGGAGGCTGGAGAAGATGTGGTGCCAGAGGCGGGGATTCAGTCAGGGCCTTCAGAACCTCCAGAAGCTCCCATAAGTGAAGAGGAAGAAGAGGAGGAGCCTCTTCTCGATGTACGGGCACGCAGAGCGGCCAAAAGGCAGGAGTGGCTCCTCAGGAGGAGGTCTCCTCGAGAGTAAGGCTTGGGGCTAACTGGCCACTCCCTTAGCCTATTTAAGGAGGAACGCCGACTGACGCAATTTGCTGGGAACAACTTCGTGCCACCACACTCTCAATAACCTTCGCCAAGGTTCAATTAAGGGCTCAATTAGAGAGCCTTCTCTGTGGGAGCTCCTGCCCTTTGGAACGAACTGCCCCCGGAAATACGCAAGATCTCCGACCTCCGAGTTTTTCGCTGTGCCCTCAAGACCCTGCTCTTCTGACAGGCAGGGCTATCTTTGTAAAGGAGTTTCAAATTCAGAGTTTTAAATTTTTGGGTTTTTAATGAAACTTGGCCATAAATGTAATAATTTTAATAATTTTTAAATTTAATTGGGATTTTTATTGTGTTTTTTACTTGGCTGTGCACCGCCCCGAGTCCTTCGGGAGAGGGGCGGTATAGAAATAAAATTATCTATCTATCTATCTATCTATCCATCCATCCATCCATCCATCCATCCATCCATCCATCCATCTATCTATTTCCATTGCTAAGCGAGACAATTGTTCAGTGAGCTCTGCCTCATTTTACGACCTTTCTGGCCACAGTTGTTAAGCGAATCACTGCAGTCGTTAAGTTAGTCACATGGTTGTTAAGCGAATCTGGCTCCCCCCCCCAATTGACTTTGCTGGTCAGAAGGTTGCAAAAGGGGATCAGATGACCCTGGGACACTGCAACCGTCATAACTATGAGTCACTTGTCAAGCGAGCTAATTTTGATCATGTGACCCTGGGGATGCTGCAAAGGTCGTTAAGTGTGAAAAATGGTCATGTCACTTTTTTCAGTGCTACTGTAATTTCAGTCACTAAACAAATGGTTGTAAATTGAGGACTGCCTGTAATTAAAGACGGCAGGACGAGTTAATATTGCACTCACACGTAACAAAAAAAAAATCCTTACTCTGCCCTGAATGGATGGGACGTTCTTTCTGACCCCACATTCCTTGAGGTTTTCTCCATTTTTCCTTCTGCCCAGGAATTTCCTCCGTTCTTCCTAGAATATCGTTTCCCGCCTCTTCCTCAGCCGTTGAATACTAAAAGGATAAATCAGAGTTTCTCAGCAGCACAAGAATTGATTATCTCAACAAAGCTTCAACTAAGATGGACCACAAGATGACATTGTCCGTCTATTTATTCTTATTTACTCAACGTGAACTGGGTTATTTGCTGTCTGGCACAATGAGCTCTGCCCAATAGTAACACAAGGTGTTTTGTCCTGGAAGGGCAGGTTAGAGATGGATCGTCATGGAGAAAAAACTGTGTTGTTAGGAGTTGGGAATGACTTCATTAATCAATCAATCAATCAATCACCTCAACCTCAAGCGTTCTCCACTCGCCAGTTCATGAGTCCTCCAAATCAGGAGTTGAAAGAACTTGGTAGTACAGGGGTTTAAGGCACCCTGTTATTAAGCTTATTAAGACCAGCTGCCTGCAATTACTGCAGGTTTGAATCTCGCCAGGCTCAAGGTTGACTCAGCCTTCCATCCTTTCTAAGGTAGGTAAATTGAAGACCCAGTTTGTGGGGGCAATAAGCTGACTTTGTATAAATATACAAAAGTATGAAGGCTATTGCTTAACGCATTGTAAGCCGCCCTGAGTCTTCGGAGAAGGGCGGCATATAAATCAAATTAAAAAAAAAAAAAACCAAACAGGCTTCAGGATACACTGAATTACAGATTATAGCATCAAATAACTTCATAGAAATCTCAGCCCAGCTCACCTTACAGGGTTGTCATTGTAGGGAAAAAAAGGAGGAGAAAGGACACCTTTTATGCTCACTGGCATGAGTTATTTGTAAAAGGAAGGAAGGAAGGAAGGAAGGAAGGAAGGAAGGAAGGAAGGAAGGGGAAAGACAGAGGAGAATGAAGGGAAGGGAAGAGAGAGGAAGGAAAGGAAGGAGAAAAAGAGAGGGAAGAAGGAGGGAAGAGGAAGGAGTAAGGGAAAGAGAAGGAAGGAAGGAAAGAGAGGTAGGAAGGAGGGAAGGGAGGAAGGAGCAAGGGAGACAGAGAAGGAAGAAAGGAAGAGAAAGAAAGGAAGGAAAGAGAAAGGAAAGGAGGGAAGGGAGGAAGGAGTAAGGGAGACAGACAAGAAGGAAGGAAAGAAGGAAGGAAGGAAAAGAAGACAGAAAGGAAGGAAAGAAGGGAAGAGAGAGATGAAGAATGGAGGGAGCCAGAGAAAGAAGGAAGGAAAGAAGGAAGGAAGGAAAAGAAGACAGAAAGGAAGGAAAGAAGGGAAGAGAGAGATGAACAATGGAGGGAGCCAGAGAAAGAAGGAAGGAAAGAGAGGTAGGAAGGAGGGAAGGGAGGAAGGAGCAAGGGAGACAGAGAAGGAAGGAAGAGAAGGAAGAGAGAAAGAAAGGAAGGAAAGAGAAAGGAAAGGAGGGAAGGGAGGAAGGAGTAAGGGAGACAGACAAGAAGGAAGGAAAGAAGGAAGGAAGGAAGGAAAAGAAGACAGAAAGGAAGGAAAGAAGAGAGAGATGAAGAATGGAGGAAGCCAGAGAAGGAAGGAAGGAAGGAAGGAAGGAAAGAAGGAAGGAAGGGAAAAAAATTAGAAAGAGAAAGAAAGAAAGAAAGAAAGAAAGAAAGAAAGAAAGAAAGAAAGAAAGATGCACGTTCAGACTCAATGACTCACCTACTATACTATAATTGCTATACCTCCCAGAAAGGAATCTGAGGAAAGAGCAGTTATCAAGTGGGGTACAAATAAAGGATCCCCTAGATTGGGAGACATAATTAATTGGCCAACAGAGGTAACCCAACATTTGAACTTCTTGTCTGGAGCTCTCCAAGGTCCTGAAGGTGGCCAGTTTCCTGGCAAAGAATAACCCAGCTTTTCATTTTCTTTCGAGGAACTCTCCAGGGTCCTGAAGACAAGGGCAGGCATAGAGGTACTCCCTGACCTACGACCACAATTTCTGATGCTAAGCATGTCAGCTGTTAACTGAGCCACGCCCCACCCCTCAGATTTTACAACCTTTTTGTCACGGTTGTTAAGCGAATCACTGCAGTTGTTAAGCGGATCATGTGCTCATTAAGTGGCGTCCCTCATTGATTTCGCTTGTCGGAAGCTGGCTGGCTCAGGAATTCTGGGAACTGAAGTCCTCAGGTCCTAAAGTGGCCATAGTTGCCCACCCCAGGCTCAGGAATTCTGGGAGTTGAAGTCCACAGGTTGTAAAGTTGCCACAGTTGGCCACTCCAGCTCAGGAATTCTGGGAGTTGAAGTCCACAAGTTGTAACGCTGCCATAGTTGCCCACCCCAGGCTCAGGAATTCTGGGAGTTGAAGTCCACAGGTTGTAAAGTTGCCATAGTTGCCCACCCCAGGCTCAGGAATTCTGGGAGTTGAAGTCCACAAGTTGTAACGCTGCCATAGTTGCCCACCCCAGGCTCAGGAATCCTGGGAGTTGAAGTCCACAGGTTGTAAATTCGCCAGTTTATTTATTTATTAATTTAATTTTATTTTATTTAACACAAATTTATATGCCGCCCTTCTCCCAAAGGACTCAGGGCGGCGAACACAAGCTAGAAACATACAATGATAAAAGAAGAGTCTAATTAAAGCCAATTAAAATCAAAATAATAAATAATAAAACCCCAGAATCAGAACTCAACCAATTTGTTGACATAGCCAAGTCTTTAGGCCCCGACGGAAGGAGCGGAGATAAGGCGCTGTCCGGTAGTTGCCCACCCCAGGCTCAGGAATCCTGGGAGTTGAAGTCCACAGGTTGTAAATTCGCCATAGTTGCCCAATCCTGCTCTACAAGGCCTCAAAGCTCTTCAAAAGGTGAGAAGGAGGAAGGTGTTTGACCTGGTGTGTGTGTGTGTGGGGGGGGGAAATCACTGCTCCCCCCCAATACCCAACTGAGCCACACAATCATCAGAGGCTTTTATTTTTTTACTTTTAAAAGCATTTTTTCTACAACCTCTTCGGCCGAAAAATGCTTTTAAAAGTAAAAAAAGCCTCTGATGATCATGCGGCTCAGCTGGGATCCTCAAAGGCTTTTAAAAGCATTTGTTCTACAACCCCTTCAGAGGTTGTAGAAAAAATGCTTTTAAAAGCCTCTGATGATCCCAGCTGAGTTGCCTGATCGGCTTTTTTTCTTTTAAAAGCCTCTGACGATCCCAGCTGAGTTGCCTGATCGTCAGAGGCATTTAAAAGAAAAAAAACCCTTTGACGATCAAGGCAACTCAGCTGGGATCGTCAGAGGCATTTAAAAGAAAAAAAGCCTTTGCCGATCAGGCAACTCGGCTGGGATCGTCAGAGCCTTTTGACAGCATTTTTTTACAACCTCTTCGCCGAAGAGTTTGTAGAAAAAATGGTTTTAAAAGTAAAAAAAAAAAAAAAAAAAAAGGCCCCGCCCACCCAGTCACATTACCCTCCCACCACCAAGCCACGCCCATAGAACCGGTAGTAACAAATTTTAGATTTCCCCACTGAGACAGGGTCTTATTTTCGGGAAAACACAGTAAAAAAGTGACTTATGACCATTCTCCACACTTATGACCGTTGTAGCATCCCCATGGCCACCTGATTTATATTGGATGCTTGACAACTGACTCGTATTTATAACAGTTGCAGTATCCCAGGGATGTGTGTGTGTGTCACATGATCATTTTTTGCGACCTTCTGACCAGCGAAGTCCAGAGGGAAACCAGATTCAGTCCACAACTGTGGGACTAATTTAACAACTGCAATGATTCACTAACCAACGGGGACAAGTAAGGTCGTAAAATGGGGCAAAACTCACTAAACCAATGAGCAAAGCCAAGGGGAAAGCACAACTATGTGACTCAGCCGCTGCAGCGATCCATTTAACAACGGTGGCAAGAACGGTCAGAAAATGGGGCAAAACTCACCAACCATTTCACTTAGCAACATAAATGTTGGGCTCAATTGCGGTCGTAAGTTGAGGACTACTTGTAAAACCTCAACTTTTTACTTAGATGTACTCATATTATACTAGCCATTTCTATAACCACCAAACCTAACCAATCGGCAGAACTTCAAATCAGAGTTTCATTATTTTTTTCCCCCACCTCAAGCACAAAGTCCAGAAACGGTTTCCAGGTAGGAACAAAATTAGCTGCGTTCTTTCCTTTAATCAAAGTAATCAATTTAAGCCACCTTGGCAAATTCCATCAACCTTTTTCTCTTACTTCCAATTCTGAAGGCTCGGGAGGAGCAGAACTGCCCAAAAAATAATTGGAGTCTGGAGTGAAAAACTCCTCGGATACGTTAAGGGACAAAGATGGAGAACGGGTCACCTCTTCCAGCTGCTCCTGCAAGAGAGACGGAAATTAAAACGGTATCTTTATCCAGAGTGGGAGGAAAAATATTTATTTTGTTACCTGCCCCGTATCTGTTTAGTGAATATTCTGCCTTTCCTTTGAGACTCAAGACAGTCCTCAATTTATAACCACAATTAGGATCAGAATTTCTGTTGCTAAGCGAGACAGTCGTTCAGTGAGTCACGCCCAATGTTATGACCTTTTTCGGCCCGGTTGTTAAGCCAATCGCCGCCGTTAGGTGAACCATGCGGTCGTTAAGCAAATCCATCCCCTCCCCAATTGAGTTTGCTTGTCGGAAGCCCAAAATTTCCATCGTTAAGCGAGGCGGTCGTTGAGCGAGTTACACCTTGTTTTACGACTTTTTTTTTTTTTTTTGGGAAACAGCCGTTAAGGGAATCGCTGCGGCTGCTAAACGAATCATGTGGTTGTTAAGTGAAACCCCCCCCCCTTTGACTTTGCTTGACTGAAACCAGCTGGGATGGTCGCCAATGGCATGCTGAAACAGTCATAAGTACATGCCAGTTGCCAAGCCTTCAAATTCTGATCCTGTGACTTTGGCGATGCTGCAACGGTTGTAAGCATGAGGATTGTCCGCAAGTCCCTTTTTTTTTTTTTTAGTGCTGTTGTTAACTCTGAATGGTTGCTAAGTGAATCGTCGTTAAGTCGAGGACTGCTAAGGAAGTAGTTCTCTGCTTATTTATCATAGCGGAGAGATCCCTGCAATACTTATTAATCATATTTATTTATTAATCATATTTCTATGCCGCCCACTCTCCGAGGACTCTGGGCGGCTTACAACAATCGACAGTACACTAAATAGCATATTGGCCCCTAACAATCTGGGTCCTCATTTTACCCACCTCGGAAGGATGGAAGGCTGAGTCAACCTTGAGCCGGTGAGATTTGATCCGCTGATCTGCTGAACTAGCAGTCAGCTGAAGTAGGTGCAGTACTGCACCCTAACCACTGCGCCACCTCGGCTCCAATCCAGGAACTACCAACTCAGACAAACAATCAGTAAACTACATTTCTAAGAATACACCCACCAATGCTGACAGGGCAAGCCATTTGTATATGAACTGAGAGTATTCCGTACTGATGCCATTATCTAGTTGGGTGATGAAACGTTTGCAAGAAAACAAGCTCAGAGAGGATCAAAGATCCCAGTCCTCTCTTTCCCTCCAATCCTTCCTTCTTTCCTCCCGCCTCTCTGTAAACCCCACTCTCTTCTAGCACTGATGATGTTGCTTAGTTGAGTCAATCAATATCTCCAAGAAAAGAACTAAGAACCCTACATCCATCTATCTAATCTCTCTCTCTCTCGCTTTCTATCGTTCTCTCTTTCTGTGTATCTTTCTCTCTGCCTCTGTGTCTGTCTCTGTGCCTTTCTGTCTCTCCGTGTCTTCTCTTTCTCTCTCTCTCTCTTTCTTGTCTCTCTCTGTCTTTCTCTGACTGTCTCTTTCTGTCTTTCTCTCTGTGCATCTGTCTTTCTGTTTTTCTTTCTGTCTTTCTTTGTGTCTTCTCTCTCTCTGTCTGTGTGTCTCTCTGTGTCTTTCTCTGTGTGTGTCTTGTCTTTCTGTCTTTCTGTCTTTCTCTGTCTTTCTCTGTGTGTCTTCTCTTTCTCTCTCTCTGTCTCCGTCTTTCTCTCTCTGTCTGTTGTCTTTCTCTCTGTCTTTCTCTCTGTCTCTGTGGCTGTCTTTCTCTCTTTCTCTCTCTCTTTCTCTCTGTGTGTCTTCTCTTTCTCTCTCTCTGTCTCCGTCTTTCTCTGTCTCTGTGTCTGTCTTTCTCTCTTTCTCTGTCTTTCTGTGTGTCTTCTCTTTCTCTCCCTGTCTCTCTCTCTCTCTGTCTTCTCTGTCTTTCTTTCTGTCTTGTTTCTCTCTCTGTCTTTCTCTCTGTGCATCTCCCTGTGTCTTTCTCTCTCTCTCTCTCCATCTTTCTCTCTGTCTGTGTCTGTCTGTCTTTCTTTCTCTCTGTCTTTTTCTGTGTGTCTTCTTTCTCTCTCTGTCTCTCTCTGTGTCTTCTCTGTCTTTCTCTCTGTCTTTCTTTCTGTCTTGTTTCTCTCTCTGTCTCTCTCTGTCTTTCTCTTTCTCTGTGTCTTCTGTCTCTCTCTCTCTCTGTCTGTGTCTTTGTGTGTCTTTTTGTCTGTGTGTGTCGTCTTTCTCTCTCTGTTTTTCTGTGTCTTCTGTCTCTCTCTCTGTCTGTCTGTCTGTCTTTCTCAGTCTCTCTCTGTGTCTTTCTGTGTCTTCTCTATCTCTGTCTCTATCTCTCTCTGTCTCTGTGTCTCTGTGTGTCTTTCTCTCTCTCTCTCTCCGTCTTTCTCTCTGTCTCTGTGTCTGTCTTTCTTTCTCTCTCTTTCTCTCTCTTTCTCTCTCTCTCTCTCTTTGTGTGTCTCTTTCTGTCTCTCTGTGTCTTTCTCTCTCTAAGCCCAATGAAGGAAGCTCCAAGAACTCTCCTACCAACACTGTCAGGGTTAACCACTCACTTATTATATAAACACAGACCAAACCCCACTTCCTAATAGCACTGATGATGTTACCTAGTTGGGTCGTGAAACGTGTACAAGACAACAACCAAGCTCAGGAAGCACCGAGGACCCCACAGTCCTCTTCCTCCCCCCTCCTCCTCTTCTCCACAAACCCCACTCCCTTGTAGCAACTGATGATGTTAGCTAATTGGGTCCCGAAACGTCTCTCAAGAAAACAACCAAGCTCAGAGAGAACCAAGGACCTCACGTGCTAACCTTTGTTAGAAAGGTCTCCTCTCTCTCCAGCAGGATTTACTGACAACTTTTCGCTCAGATTCTTTGCTTTGATCCAAAGCACCAGTTGTGAAAAATGTTCGGGTGTTTCGGAGCGGGATTGATTGCATTAAAATATTATCTCCGGAATGGCTTAACGCCGTGTAGTTCTAGACTCTTATTTTGCTCAATGATCTGGATCAGGATTGGCCGATGGGACCAAGAACGATTGCTTAATTATTCCGCGGCCGAAGGAGCAAATAAAATAAAATAAAATCCATACCCGGCACGAATCCTCCGAAGGGAGAGAAAGGCACACGGGTTTGCGTGGCGCTGCGCTGTTCTCGCAGGCTGGAATCGGGCTGTCTCTTCCTAATAATAAATTAAGACAACATGAAATGCAGCATCACCCTCCCACCCCAGGGAAACGAGGAGGGGAGGGAGTCGAAATTAGCATGCAGAGACAAAACTGGGTTCCTTGGACGAGGGACAGGCTGGAAAAGCAAATAATTCAGAAAACGCCAATAGAGGCCGATTTGACGGGGATGATGATGATAATAGCAATTAAATGGCTAATCCGCAGAGCCCAGAAAGGAATAAATAAATTATCCCTTAGAGAAGAGGGATAAAGCATCCCCGATAAATGCGTATTTTGGAAAACGATCTCTGGGAAAAAAAAAAAAGAAAATCCATCCCAGCGAATCCGCCTCGCTCACCAAGAGCGTCGAAAACCGTCAGGAAAATGGAACGTACCCAGAACGCTAAAATTGCTACAGACAACCTCTCTCGTTGCACACCAATTATGTCAAAGTCGATTTGCGTTCCTGCTCCTTGGCCATTTTAATTCTGGGGAAGGGTCTTCTTCACAGAGAAGGGGTGGGCAGTTCACAGCACAACATCAGCAATTTGCTGCGTCTTGCTCAACAGTTACACAGAGGGTAAGGTTAAAAAAAAAAAGAAAGAAGAAGGATTAAGATGCGGTGGGTTATTAATTTAATTTTTTTTTTTTTAAACCCATCTTAATAGTTTTGATGAATAACCTAAGGCGGTGATCGGATCAAAGTCTCCTTCCTCCTCCTATTTTCCCCACAACCCCTGCGAGGTGAGACCGGCCCAAGGTCACCCAGCTGGCTTTCATGCCTAAGGCGGGACTAGAACTCACCGTCTCTTGGTGATTGTCTCAAAGTCACTTAGCTGGTGGAACTAGAGCTCACGGTCTCCTGGCGATTGGCCCAAAGTCACTCAACTGGCTTTCATATCTAAGGACTAGAATTCACTGCGTGCTGGTGATTGGCATGAAGTCACCCAGTGGCTTTTATGCCTAAAGTGGTGCTAGAACTCACACTCTCCTGGTGATTGGCATAAAGTCACCTAGCTGGCTTTCATGCTGAAGGTGGTACTAGAACTCACCCTCTCCTGGTGATTGGACCAGTCACCCAGCCAGCTTTCATGCCTAAGGTGAGACTAGAACTCACAGTCTCCTGGTGATTGGCTTAAAGTCACCTAGCTGGCTTTCATACCGAAGGCAGGACTAGAATTCACAGTCTCCTGGTGATTGGCCTAAGTCACCCAGTGGCTTTCATGCCTAAGGTGGTACTAGAACTCACCCTCTCCTGGTGATTGGACCAGTCACCCAGCCAGCTTTCATGCCTAAGGTGAGACTAGAACTCACAGTCTCCTGGTGATTGGCTTAAAGTCACCTAGCTGGCTTTCATACCGAAGGCAGGACTAGAATTCACAGTCTCCTGGTGATTGGCCTAAATCACCCAGTGGCTTTCATGCCTAAGGTGGTACTAGAACTCACAGTCTCCTGGTGATTGGACCAAAGTCACTCAACTGGCTTTCATACCTAAGAACTAGAATTCACTGTCTGCTGGTGACTGGCCTAAAGTCACCCAGTGGCTTTCATGCCTAAAGTAAGACTAGAACTCACAGTCTCCTGGTGATTGGCCCAAAGTCACTCAACTGGCTTTCATACTGAAGGCAGGACTAGAATTCACCCTCTCCTGGTGATTGAACATGCCTAGGGCAGGACTAGAACTCACCGTCTCCCAGTTTCGAGCCTGCTGCCTTAACCACTGGACCAAAACCACCACGGCAAGATTGAAACTTATTATCTGCATCGCTGGGGCTGCTAAAATCTGGCAGTGAAATGTATGAATTTTGGCTACTTTCGGGGAGTCTCTGTTTTTATGAGGAGACACACGGAAGTAAACGCCACCTAACCGAGCTGTGCCGCCTGGGGGATCCTGGGAGTTGCAGTCCACACATCTTCCAAGTTGTTAAGGATGAGAAACAGAGCTGTAACTCAACCTTCCTTACCTTCTTTCTCAAGGCCCGGGACTCTTCCTAACACCCCGTCTGGATTTTTCTGGTTTTCGTCTCCGCGAAGCACCTTGTGGTCGCCATTGGCCCTAATGCCCTGCCCCTTTCCCGCCGCGACGTTCTCCTGGTTGAACCGGACTCGCTCGCAGATGGTGGGGCTCGGGAAAACGGTCAGGGCATCCTGCGCCTGGCTTTGCAACATCCATCTGGTGGCGGGGTGCTGCGTCGGTAAATGAAGCTGCCCCGAGGCTGCCTGTTTGGCCATCTGCTTCACTTCGGCTGCAGCGAAACCGCGACACAAAAGACGAGTCGGTTGGATTTAATCAATCAATCAATCAATCAATCAATCAATCAATCAATCTTTGGACTGGTTTTAGTGGGACGTGATCACTTCAGCCGATACGGTGAGGAAGCGACATAGGATTAAATACCGGTAGTCCTCAATTTACAACTGCTCGTTTAGTGACCGTTCGAAAATTGCCACGGCACTGGAAAAAAGTGACTTAGGACCATTTTTTCACTCTTACGACCGTCGCAGCGTTCTCCGTGGTCACGTGATCAAAATTCAGGCGTTTGACAGCTGACTCACATTTATGACGGTCGCAGTGTCTGGGGGGAGGTGTCACGTGATCCCCTTTTGCGACAAGCAAAGTCAACGGGGAAATTTTATTTATTTATTTATTTATTATATTTCTATACCGCCTTTCTCCCGTAGGACTCAAGGCGGTGTACAGTCAAGAAAAGCCGGATTCGCTTAACAACCGTGTGACTAATTTAAAAACGGCAGCGATTCACTTAACAGCGGTGGGAACAAAGGTCGTAAAATGGGAGGGTGGGGGGATAATTCACATAACAATTTCTCATTTAGCCCCGTAAATTTTGGGCTCCGTTGTTGGTCGTAAATGAGGAATACCTCTACAGGTAGTCTTCGACTTACAGCCACAATCGAGCCCAAACTTTATGACACTGAGTGAGACAGTTGTGAAGTGACCTTTTGTCCCATTTTTACGACCTTTCTTGCCACCGTTGTTAAATGGATCACTGTGGCTGTTAAGTTAGAAACACGGTTATGCTTTCCCATTGACTTTGCTTGAAGCAATGGATGGAAACTAATCAAGGAGAGGAGCAACCTAGAACTGAGGAGAAATTTCCTAACAGTGAGGACAATCATAACCAGTCCTTAAACAAATGACCTTTTACTGCCTTTTCTTATTATATTGTAAGCTTCCCCTATATTGTAAGTTGCGTCGGTCAGATGGGCAGCGTAATAATTTAATAAATAAATATAAATCAATAAAACACCCACAAAGTGAATATTTTGGTAGTACAGTGGTTTAATGCACCCTGTTATTAAGACCAGCTGCCTGCAATTTCTGCAGGTTCGAATCTCCCCAGGCTCAAGGTTGACTCAGCCTTCCATCCTTTCTAAGGTAGGTGAAATGAGGACCCAGTTTGTGGGGGCAATAAGCTGACTTTGTATAAATATACAAAAGTATGAAGGCTATTGCTTAACGCATTGTAAGCCGCCCTGAGTCTCCGGAGAAGGATGGCATATAAATCAAATAAAAATAAAAATAAAATAAATAAAATATTTTCAAGGAGAAAACTCCGCAATTTCCTTTTCTTTGTCCTCTACTGCCATCTAGTGGGCAGAAAGGAAATAACAGAGCTACTTTTCCACAGCAGAGATTGGGAGATAAGTGGCCATGCCACCTTTTTCTACTCATCAGTGGTCAGTTTGGTGCAGCGGGCAAGGTGACGGGGAGTAGAAACTGAGAGGCTGTGAGTTCTAGTCCTCTCCTAGGGTCTCCCTCGAGACACAGGTTCAAATTAAGTTTACTTCAGCTATACTATCCAAAGAGCAATGCTTCTTAACCTTTGGAAACTTTAGGGTTGCCAAAGGGATCTTGGAGGTCTTCTAGTCCAACCCCCTGCTCAAGCAAGAGTCTCTGCAACATTCTGGACAAATGGTTCTCCAGTCTCTTCTTAAAAACTCCCAGTGTTGGAGCCATTCACAACTTCTGGTGGCAAGTTGTTCCACTGGTTAATTGTTCTCACTGTCAGGAAATTTCTCCTTAGTTCTAAGTTGCTTCTCTCCTTGGTTAGTTTCCATCCGTTGCTTCTTGTCCTGCCCTCAGGTGCTTTGGAGAATAGCTTGACTCCCTCTTCTTTGGGGCAACCCCTGAGATACTGGAAGACTGCTATCATGTCTCCCCTAGTCCTTCTCTTCATTAAACTAGACATACCCAGTTCCTGCAACCGTTCTTCCTATGTTTTAGCCTCCAGTCCCTTAATCCTCTTTGTTGCTCTTCTCTGCACTCTTTCTAGAGTCTCCACATCTTTTTTACATCGTGGCGACCAAAACTGGAAGCAATATTCCAAATGTGGCCTTACCAAGTGGTATTAACACTTCACGTGATCTTGATTCCATCCCTCTGTTTATGCATTGGCTTTAAGATGTCTGGATTTCAATGCCCAGAATTCCCGAGCCAGGATGAAGAATTCTTGATGAGTAAACCAGCCCAAAATCTATTACTAATCTGTGTAACTCGCTGTCCCAAACTTTAGATGGCCGTAAAAGGGGACTGGATAAATCCCTGCAAAAAGGTCTATCAAGGGTTACCCATCTGGATGACCTCACCATGCCTCCAAGCTGAGGGCACCATTGTTAAATCCTAATTTTGGGAAAAAAGAGGGAGGGAGAAGGATGTGTCTCCATCTGTCGAGCCCCCAAAGAACATCTAGCTGATTCCCAAATGCTAGATTAGCATCTTCGCCTAAATCAACAGGGTGGATCTTCTAACTGTAGGGCTGAGAATGATGGGTATTGTAGTCCCAGCTCACACACACACACACACACCTTTCTGTGGACTGGAAAACCCCAAAACTCACTTGTCCATTCCGAATGGGCCATTCTCCTCTCCTCGCTTCTCAAATTCGCTTCATAGACTTCAGGAGCTGTTTTTTTGAAGGACCTGCAAAACCAGATTAATGGCATCATTTTTACCCACCACAGATAGGATGCGCTTAGAGTTAGACCCCACTTTATCTAGGTTTCCTCTAAACACCCTAGAGCATTTCTGCCTTTTCCTCCCTCTTAATTTAAATAACAGAATTACGGAGTAACAGAGTTACTAGTCTAACCTCCTGCTTAGGCAGGAAACCCTACACCACTTCAGACAAATGGTTATCCAACCGCTTCTTAAAAATTCCCAGTGTTGGAGAATTCACAACTTCTGGAGGCAAGTAGTTCCACTGATTAATTGTTCTCACTGTCAGGAAATTTCTCCTTAGTTCTAAGTTGCTTCTCTCCTTGATCAGTTTCCATCCGTTGCTTCTTCTCCTGCCTTCCGGTGCTTTGGAGAATATCTTGACCCCCTCTTCTTTGGGGCAGCCCCTGAGATACTGGAAGACTGCTATCATGTCTCCCCTAGTCCTACTCTTCATTAAACTAGACATTCCCAGTTCCTGCAACCGTTCTTCATATGTTTTATCCTCCAGTCCTCTAATCCTCTTGGTTGCTCTTCTCTGCACTCTTTCTAGAGTCTCCACATCTTTTTTACATCGTGGTGACCAAAACTGAATGCAATATTCCAAGTGTGGCCTTACCAAGGCCTTGTAAAGCGGTATCAACACTTCACGTGATCTTGATTCTATCCCTCTGTTGATGCAGCCTAGAACTGTGTTGGCTTTTTTGGCAGCTGCTGCACACGGCTGGCTCATATCTAAATGGTTGCCCACTAGGACTCCAAGATCCCTCTCACAGTTACTACTATTGAGCAAAGTACCACCTGTACTGTATCTGTGCATTTCGTTTTCCTTGCCTAAATGTAGAACCTTCCTTTTGTCACCCTTGAATTTCATTCTGTTAGATAGCGCCCAATGTTCCAGTCTGTCCAGATCCTTGTAGTCATAAACGAAGGACCGTTTACTGTTTTTCTCTGGATGGAGAGAATTCGGACTGTCTGTCAAGGTGATAATTTAAGAGGTGACCAGCTGAAGCAACAATGAGAATGAATCGGCAGGATCTTTGGCTGTTATCCCTTTAAGAGCCTGTGTAATAAGAGGAGGCCATGCTAGAGTGTTTGCGGCTCGCCGAGTTTCTTCCCTGCTGTAATTGCTGTTTGTTTAGATACTGCTTGTCGCAGGTGTATTTATAGTATTCCTATATTCCTATTGTAGATAAAACCAGATAAAAACTCTGACATTCCCGCAGATTTCTTTTTAGGTACAACATACACCCAACGCTGTGCTTTTCCTCTGCCCTCCACATGCCTATTTCTCTTGTGCCAAAGCCGGGGATTGAGGAAAGAGGACTCACCCATCCGCTGCTTTGATCCCGTCCAACATGGAGCTGCCTCGACGTAGTTGGGTACTCTTCTTCCTCCTGAAGGTCACACCTGGGGGCAAGAGCTAAAAACCACATGGATAAGGAGACGATCTGGGGCCAAGGGGGGGAGGGCACACAACTATTTCTGTGTAGGGAGTCCTCGACTTACAACTGTTCGTTTAGTGACTGTTCGAAGCAACCATGGCACGGAAAACAGCGACCCGCGACCGTCTTTCATACTTTTTGACCACTCCATGGTCAAAATTCAAGCACTTGGCAATTGGCTCACATTTATGATGGTTGCAGTGCCCCCGGGGCGGGGGGGGTCATAACCTCCCCCCCTTTTGCGAACTTCCGACGCACAAAGTCAACGAGGAAGCCAGATTCGTTTAACGACCGCGTTGCTAGTTTAACAACTGCAGGGGTTCATTTAACCGCCGGGGAGAGAAAGTTCGTAAATTGGGGCAAAGCTCACTTAACGACTGTCTCGCTTAGCGATGGAAAATTTGGGGGTTCCGTTGTGGTTGTAACTCGAGGACTACCTGGAACTGGGAGGGGAGCTCGAATTAACCTTCTGCAGCTTTGGAATGCAGTCTCCATTAAATGCACAAATAGATTCTATTCTGCCAATGCAACCTCTGAAAGAAAGATTTCTGCAGATATAAATTACAGGCAGTCCTCATTTTATGACCAGAATTGAGACCAGGATTTCTGCTGCTAAGAAAGGTGGTTATCAAGCGAGTCGCCTCCGATTTCACATGTAAAATTCCCATGGTCATTAAGCGAATCGCTGCAGTTGTTAAGTGAGTCATGCGGTCGTTAAGCAAATCCAGCTTCCAACATTTCATTTTTTTCATTTCATTTTACTGGATTTATATACCTCCCTACTCCCGAAGGACTCAGGGCGGTGAACAGCCAAAAAGATAAAACACACAAACTACAAAATTTAAAAGACAGTATAAAAACCCATTAAATAATTTGGCCCAAAACAAATTAAAACACCCCTAATGTTTTAAAACAAATTTACAATTTAAAAGGGAAGTTAGGCCAGGCCAGCCTGCTGAAATAAAACGGTCTTGAGGGCACGGCGGAAGGTGCGTAAATCCGAGATCCTCCGTATCGCCGGGGGAAACTCGTTCCAGAGGGCAGGTGCCCCCACAGAGAAGGCTCTCCCCCTGGGGGCCGCCAGTCAACACTGTTTGACTGACAGCACCTTGAGGAGCCCCTCTCTGTGGGAGCGTACTGGCCGGTGGGAAGCTCTCGGTGGCAGAAGGCGATCTCGTAAGTACCCAGGTCCTAAGCCATGGAGCGCTTTAAAGGTGGTAACCAACACCTTGAATCGCACCCGGAAGACCACTGGGAGCCAGTGCAGCTCACGCAGGAGAGGTGTTACACGGGAGCGCTGTGTCGCTCCCACAATCACCCGCGTGGCCGCATTCTGGACCAGTTGGAGCCTCCGGGTGCTCTTCAAGGGGAGCCCCATGTAGAGAGCATTACAGTAGTCCAGGCGGGAAGTGACGAGGGCATGAGTGACCGTGCGCAAGGAGTCCCGATCCAGAAAGGGACACAACTGGCGAATCAGGCGAACCTGATAAAAAGCCCCCCTAGCCACGGCCGTCACATGTTCTTCTAAGGACAGCCGTGAGTCCAGGAGGATGCCCAAGTTGCGAACCCCATCTGTGGGGGCCAACGACTCGCCCCCAATAGTCAGAGATGGCGCCAACTGACTATATCGGGACGCCGGGAACCACAGCCATTCGGTCTTGGAAGGGTTGAGCTTGAGCCTGTTTCTCCCCATCCAGATCCGCACGGCCTCCAGGCACCAGGACATCACTTCAAGGGCATCGTTGGAGTGGTCCGGGGTGGAGATGTACAGCTGAGTGTCATCAGCGTACTGGTGGTACTTCACCCTGAAACCACGGATGATCTCACCCAGTGGTTTCACATAAATGTTGAACAGAAGGGGCGAGAGGACTGACCTTTGTGGCACCTCACCTAGAAGGGGCCTCGGGGTCGACCTCTGCCCCCCTGCCAACACAGACTGCGACCGGTCGGAGAGAAAGGAGGAGAACCACCGCAACACGGTGCCCCCCACTCCCAACTCTTCCAACCGGTGGAGCATGATACCATGGTCGATGGTATCAAAAGCCGCTGAGAGGTCTAATAGGACCAGGATAGAGGAACAACCCCCGTCCCGAGCCCTCCAGAGATCATCAACCAACGCGACCAATGCCGTTTCCGTGCTGTGCCCAGGCCTGAAGCCCAACTGGAACGGATCCAGATACATTGGGTCTTGGTTTATCAAAAGCCTGTTGGGAAGTTCGCAAATGGCGATCATGTGGTCCCGGGATGCTGCAATGACAGGTAGTCCACGACTTAGGAGCTCAATGCTGTTTGTAGCTTCGAATGGTCACTAAACAAACGGTTGTAAGTCGAGAACGAACCATAATTGTTCTCACTTTCAGGAAATTTCTCCTTGGTTCTAGGCTGGATCCTTGTTTCATGATCTTAAAAACCTTCCCGGTGAAAAGCAGCCATCAAGCAACATTACCGCTGCCAGCCAACCCTGCTCAGGGGTGTAAAAGAGCCTCCTCTCTTTGTCCCACTTTACCTGATTGTTTGGCTCTGTTCCTTTTGGACTGATGGGACTTCTGGCTGTTTCCGGTCCAAAATCGCTCCAGTAGGTGGTATCCTGGCTTTGGTTGGCACTCTTGGGTTTGTTTTCGGATGCTTGATAAGACTGGATCACCAGGGATCTGTACGTCCCCGGAACCCGGAAAGGCGGCGGCACGTAGCTCTCCGTCGGGGGACCTATCGTCTTCCACTGGAAGGCGCGGTCACCGTTTAAGGGAGGCTTAATATTTCTCAAGATACTCTCCAGCTTCTCCTGGCAACCCCGGGCAGGAATCCCGACGGGGAGCTGCTCCTTTGCCTGGGTCCCCCAAAAGAGCTGCCCAGGTTTGTTGAAATTCTCCAGCGGGCCCAGTTTGGTTTCGGTGCGGGAGAGGGAATCCGTAGCTTGCTGGAGCAAAGTTTGGCAGATCTTGAGATCTAGAACGCATTTGCCAAATTTGTGCTCGAACTGGGACTGGACATTCCTGTTTTTGCCGCGGGCGCCCCCGAGCACCTCGTTCATCACCGAGACGCCGTTCAGGTCCTCGTGACTATATTCGGTTTCGGCGTCTGAGGACAGGCTCGCCTCGCGGTCCCGGATCTCGGCAAACTGAGGGAAAGAGCGGTTGGCTGTATCACCAGGAGAGCTCAGCGATTCTCGTCGGGAATCAGGGTCCTGCTCGGTTCTCGATGTCTCTTCGTCCCCCTCCGTCTCTTCGCCCATCTCTGGGTAACAAGTGTATATCTCGTTGATTTGCACGCTGGACAAGCTCAGGTTGGCGTTGCTGTCCTCGTCCGCGTCTTTCAAACGTCCCTCGAAGGAAAGTCTGGATTGCGCCGTGCGGACAACCGGCTCGGAGACCTGGACGACGTCGCTCAAACGTCTATCAAAGAAAGTGGTTGACTGCGCCGTGCGGAGAACCGGCTCGGACACCTGGACGATGACGGGTTTGATCTCCGGCGAGGAAATGGCGCATCTGGTCGTGGTGAAACTCCTGGCTGAGGAACGAAGCGAGAATGGCGATGGAAGGAAATGCGTCAAGAGAAAATTCGGTCCAGTTTCTCACCCGCTAACAATTTATCTTTTAATTTTATTCGTTTGTATCCTGCCTTTTATAATTTTTTACAAATAATTCAGGGCGGTGGACATATCCAATACGCCTCCCTCGTCCTATTTTCCCCACAACAACCACCCTGTGAGGTGGGATGGGCTGAGAGAGAGAGGGACTGGCTCCAAGTCACCAAACTGGTTTTCGTAGCTAAGGTGGAACTAGAACTCACCATCTCCCGGTGATTGGCCCAAAGTCACCCAGCCAGCTTTCATGTCTAGGGATGGACTAGAATTCACAATCTCCTGGTGACTGGCCCAAAGTCAGCCAGCTGGCTTTCATGGCTAAGGCAGGACTAGAACTCACCGTCTGCTGGTGATTGGCCCAAAGTCTCCCAGCTAGATTTTATGCCAAGGGCTGGACTAGAACTCACTATCTCCTGGTGATTGGGCTAAAGTTACGCAGCTGATTTTCATGGCTAAGGAGACTAGAACTCCCAGTCTCCCCGTGATTGGCCTAAAGTCAGCTAGCTGGCTTTCGCAGCTAAGGCGGGACCAGAACTCACTGTCTCCTGGTGATTGGCCCAAAGTCTTCCAACTGGCTTTCATGCCTAAGGCAGGACTAGAACTCACCTTCTCCTGGTGATTGGCCCAAAGTCAGTCAGCCGGCTTTCATGGCTAAGGCAGGACTAGAACTCACCGTCTCCTGGCGATTGGCCCAAAGTCTCCCAGCTAGCTTTTATGCCAAGGGCTGGACTAGAACTCACTATCTCCTGGTGATTGGGCTAAAGTTACGCAGCTGGTTTTCAGGGCTAAGGAGACTAGAACTCCCAGTCTCCTAGTGATTGGCTTAAAGTCAGCTAGCTGGCTTTCGCAGCTAAGGCGGGACCAGAACTCACTGTCTCCTGGTGATTGGCCCAAGGTCACCCAGCCGGGTTTCGTGCCCAAGGCAGAGCTAGAATTCACAGTCTCCCACTTTCTAGCCTGGTGCATTACATCTACACTTCCAGTATTGGAGCATTAACAACTTCTGGAGACGAGTTGTTCTACTTGTTCATTGTTCTAACTGTCAGGAAATTTCTTCTTAGTTCTAAGGTTGTTTCTATTACCCTTCTTTTGGTTTCGTATCAGCCTTACAAGAACTTGATGAGGTCATTATCAACTCCACTGTACACACAGACACACATAAACACACACACCACAGCTGCATTCATGTGGATGCAACCGCCCAGGGGTGGGTTCTAAATTTTTTTACTACCGGTTCTGTGGGTGTGGCTTATTTTGTGGGTGTGGCTTGGAGGTCATGTGACTAGGTGGGCGTGGCTAGCTGGTCAGGGTCATTTCTGGAAGGTCCTCGCACTTACGACCAGTCCTCGCACTTACGACCCAACTCATTTGTTTGCTTTTAACACTGATCAGCTGTAGGGCGGCCCTTTGAAGCCCCGCGGCAAGAGTTTAAACAGTTTTCTTTCCCTCTAGTCATCAGCTGGGACTCAGGAGGCAGCAATAGATTGGGGGTGGGACCAAATAAAAGGTAAGAATAACGTGGGGGGGGGTGGGAGGGCGGGGAGAACCGGTTCAGTGACGTCATATCATTACCGCTACCGGCTCGGCCGAACCGGACTGAACCGGGAGGAACCCACCACTGCAACCGCCAAAGAAATTAACCAGCTACTTGATTCACCCAACAGAACAATATTTGAGCTGCCTAAAGTTGCCGGACTTCGCAATTTACGCCAATTCCCAGCTCAAAATATTCTACTGCACCTTCTAACATCTCCTCTCCCTCCCACCTCCCAAATTTACCCCTCCATTTCAGAATTCCTGGGCAGTGGGGAAACCTCACCAAGCAGAGATCTCCCCCCACCACCACCACAAACACTTCCGGGCTCTCATTACGCCCAGCCTCTCAGCCCCAAAGAGGACACGAACAGGGGGGTGGGCTACTGGAGATTCGCAGAGGTTCGTGAGAACCTCTAGCTAAGATTCTGTGCAGTTTGGAACCCCCAAATCCCACTCCTGGCTGGCCCCGCCCACCCCGTCCCTTCCCCTCCCAGGAGTCCCCACACGGCTAGTTTTGGAGGGGGCACATGGGAGGCTCAGGGAGGGCAAAAAACGGGCCTACCGGAAGTTAGGGAAGGCCAGAAACAGGCCTGTTTCTGGCCTTCAGAGCCTGGGGAGGCCGTTTTCACCCTCCCGGAGGCTCCCAAAAAGCCTCTGGAGCCCAGGGAGGGCAAAAACGCACCCCTCCCCGCCATGGCGCAGAGGACCGACTAGGCCACGCCCACCATGGGCACGCCCACCCACCAACCGGGCAAAAATTTTTGAAGCCCACTCCTGGACACGAACCTACGTGAGCCTTTTCTTCTTGCAATCTTGGCTGCTTCACCTCGAAAGCCGAGGCGGAAGGCAAACAGATATTGATGTTGGGTTGAATTTCAGGCTTGGGAGATTCCGGATGTTCCCCGGGACGGTGCTTGCGAGATTCTAGTAAATCCTGCCAAAAAAAAAAACCAGAAAGAAAACAAAAGGAAAACGAAGAACGGGTTAGCAGAACCCTTTGTCCACCTTGTGGTCCATTAATTATGTTTCTTATGTTTAAATTTGATGGATGTATGTTTTTCCTGTGAATAGAATAGAATAGAATAGAATAGAATAGAATAGAATAGAATAGAATAGAATAGAATAGAATAGAATAGAATAGAATAGAATAATAGAGTTGGAAGGGACCTTGAAGGTCTTCTAGTCCGACCCCCTGCCCAAGTAGGAAACCTTACACCATTTCTGACAGATGCCTGTCCAGTCTCTTCTTGAAAGCCTCCAAGGATGAAGCTCCCACAACCTCTGGTGGCAAGCTGTTCCATGGGTTGATTGCTCTCACTGTCAGGAAATTTCTCATTTCTAGGTTGAACCTCTCCTTGTTCAGTTTCCATCCATGATTCCTTGTCTGGCCTTCGGGTGCTTTGGAAAATAGCTTGACCCACTTCCTCCTGTCTGGGGCAGCCCCTCAAATATTGGAAGATGCTCTCCTGTCTCCTCTGGTCCTTCTCTTCACTAGACTAGCCAGGCCCAGTTCCTGCAACCGTTCATCGTATGCAAGGGTGTGTTCTAAATTTTTTTACTACCGGTTCTGTGGGTGTGGCTTATTTTGTGGGCATGGCTTGGTGGGGGGTAATGTGAATGGGTGGGCGTGGCCAACTTTTTTTTTTTTTTTTAACTTTTAAAAGCATTGTTTCTACAACCTTAAGAGGTTGCAGAAAAAAAATGCTTTCAGGAGCCTCTGACGATCAGGCAACTCAGCGGGGATCGCCAGAGGCTTTTAAAGGCATTTTTTTTTCCAACAACCTCTTCGGCCGAAGAAGTTGCAGAAAAAATGCTTACAGAAGCCTCTGACGATCCCAGCTAAGCCGCGCGATCATCAGAGGCTTTTTTTTTTAACTTTTAAAATCATTTTTTCGGCCGAAGAGGTTGTAGAAAAAATGCTTTTAAAAGTTTTTTTTTAAAAAGCCTCTGATGAGGTGGGCGGGGTAAGCGAGTGGCGACCGGACTGGGAACTGGTTCGGGGGCGTGGCCAGCCAATGTTATTACCGGTTCTCCAAATTACTACGAATTTTTATCGGTTCTTGCGAACCGGTGTGAACCGGGAGCTACCCACCACTGATCGTATGTTTTAGCCTCCAGTCCCCTAATCATCTTGGTTGCTCTCCTCTGCACTTTTTCTAGAGTCTCAACCTATTTTTTATAGTGTGGTGACCAAAACTGGATGCAGGTAAAGGTTCCCCTCGCACATATGTGCTAGTTGTTCCCGACTCTAGGAGGCGGTGCTCATCTCCGTTTCAAGGCCAAAGAGCCAGCGCTGTCCGAAGACGTCTCCGTGGTCCTGTGGCCGGCATGACTCAACACTAAAGGCGCACAGAACGCTGTTCCCTTCCCACCAAAGGTGGTCCCTATTTTTCTACTCGCATTTTTTACGTGCTTTCAAACTGCTAGGTTGGCAGAAGCTGGGACAAGTCACGGGAGTTCACCCCGTTATGTGGCACTAGGGATTCGAACCGCTGAACTGTCAACCTTTCGATCGACAAGCTTAGCGTCTTAGCCACTGAGCCACCGCGTCCCTTTAGGTGTGGTCTTACTAAGGCTTTGAATCAAGGGTCTCCAAACTGGGCAACTTTAAGACAAAAATAATAAAATAAAATAAAATAAAATAAAATAAAATAAAATAAAATAAAATAAAATAAAATAATAAAATAATAAAATAATAAATAAAATAAAATAAAATATAAAATAAATAAAATAAAATAATAAAATAAAATAAATAAAATACAATAAAAAATAAAATATAATAAAATAAAATAAATAAAATAAAATAAAATAAAGTAAAATAATAAAATAAAATAAATAAAATAAAATAAAATAAAATAATAAAATAATAAAATAAATAAAATAATAAAATAAATAATAAAATACCATACAATAAAATAATATACAATACAATAATATAATATAATATAAAATAAAATAATCAAATCATAAAATAATAAAATAAATTAAATTAAATATAAAATAAATAAAATAAAATAATAAAATAAATAAAATAAAATAAAAAATACAATACAATACAATAAAATAAATAAAATAAAATAAAATAAAATAAAATAAAATAAAGTAAAATAACAAAATAAAATAATAAAATAAAATAAAATAATTAAATTAATTAAATTAAATTCCTCCGCTTTTACCTTCAAGTCGTTCTTCAGAACGTAACGTATATCTTGCAGGTTCATGGTGCGCTGCTTGGGTCTGGATTCCAGGCCCGTCTTCACCATGTCGTAATAAGGCTTGGGGAGTCGGGCATCAGCTTCCAACCACTGGCCAGAGGTGATGCAATCTTTGATGGACGGACCGTCAAATCCCTCCCAGGGAACGGTGTCTGGAAAAAAAAACACACACACGTCGGGAATGCACCGTGGGAGATGGGGTGGCTCAGTGACTAAGACACTGAGCTTTTCGATCAGAAAGGTCGGCAGTTCCGCGGTTCGAATCCCTAGTACCGGTCTCCTGCGTGAGCAGGGGGTTGGACTAAATGACCTCCAAGGTCCCTTCCAACCAGTGGTGGGATTCAAATAATTTAACAACCGGTTCTCTGCCCTAATGACCAGCTGGGTAGGCATGGCTCGGTGGTCATGTGACCGTGTGGGCGTGCCCAACTCAACGTCGCTCATGGATGCTTCGTCTTAGCTGTTACAATGTAATAAGGGTTAACCAGAGAGGCAGTTTCTGTAAGCAGGGCAATAAAGATTAGGCTAGAAACACCACCAGAATATTTCCTTCCTGCCTTCCTTACAGGATTAGCCTTGTAAATTGGAAAAAACCAAAATAAGATTTCTTCCAACAACCGGTTCTCCCGAATAAGTGCGAACTGGCTGAATCCCACCACTGCTTCCAACTATGTTACTGTTACTGCATTAAAAGAAAGACAAGGAGGATGGGAAATTTTCAAACTCGGCTACTGGAATGATGGGTGGACTTCATTTCCCAGAATTCCCCAGCCAGCCACTTAAAAGAGGGAAATCTACAGCCCAGTGTTTTTATTCTTTTTTTTTTTTCGCTTTGTTTTTTAAATGGATTTAAAGGCAGTCCTGGATTTACGGCCAGAGTTGAACCCAAAATGTTTGTTCAGTGCTCAGGAAGGGAAATTTAACCTCGACCCCCTACCCAAGGTCATCTGATCCCCCTTTTTGCGACCGTCTGACAAGCAAAGTCAATGGGGAAATCTGACTCACTTAACAGTCATGCTACTATCTTAACGACTGAAGTGATTCACTTAACGAATGTGGCAAGAAAAGGTTGTAAAATGGGGCAGAACCCATTTAACAACTCTCTTGCTCCACCCCGCGAGGGTCGTTTAAAGGAGAGTCCTCAACTTACAGCAGTTCATTTAATGACTGCTCAAAGTTACAACGGCAATGAAAAAAGGGACTTAGGAACGCTTTTTCACCCTTATGACCCTGGCACCATCCTCGTGGTCATGTGATCAAAATCCAGAGGTTTGGCCACCGACTCGTATTTACGACGGACGCAGTGTCCCGGGGTCGTGGGATCATCTTTTGAGACTCTCCGTCAAAGCAAAGTCAATGGGGTAAAGCAGTGATTCACTTAACAACTGTAACAAGAAAGGTCGCCAAATGAGGCGAAGCACACTAAATAACTGTCTCGCTTAGCAACAAAAATGTTGGGCTCAATTGTGGCCATAAATCGAAGACTAGGTAAAGGTTTCCCTCGCATATACGTGCTGATCGTTCCTGACTCTAGGGGGCGGTGCTCATCTCTGTTTCAAAGCCGAAGAGCCAGCGCTGTCCAAAGACGTCTCCGTGGTCATGTGGCTGGCATGACTCAACGCCAAAGGTGCACGGAACGCTGTTACCTTCCCACCAAAGGTGGTCCCTATTTTCTACTTGCATGTTTTTACATGCTTTCGAACTGCTAGTTTGGCAGAAGCTGGGACAAGTCACGGGAGCTCACTCCATTTACGCGGCACTAGGGATTCGAACCTCTGAACTGCCGACCTTTCGATCGACAAGCTCAGCGTCTTAGCCACTGAGCCACCGCGTCCCTTTATTATACTATGTTAATAGACTCTTGCAGGTCTGAAAATACAAATCTACCTGTAAATAAATTAAAAAGAACACCAAACCTCCCCACGCCCCAAAAAAAAACCCCTCAAAGGGCAGACTCGATGGCCCCCCAAAATAAAAACATTAATTAAAAATAATAAAAATTAAATAAATAAAGGAGGAAGAAGAAGAAGAAAAAGAAAACTAACCTCAAAGGGCAACCTCGAGGGACCAAAAGAAGAAGAAAACTTAAAATAATAACGGTTAAATAAATAAATTAAGAAGAAAAAAAGGACCGACTTGATGGAACCCCGGGTCTTTTTGCGCTGTCGGTTTTTCTATCTTTCTATTTATTTTTTTATTTTATTTATTTTATTCAATTTATATCGCGCCCTTCTCCAAGTGGACTCAGGGCGGAGCACAGCCAGACTAAAACACATATCAATACAAAATTTAAAATTATTAAAAGAATTAAATAACTGTGGCCCAAAAATTTAAAACATTGAAACTAAAACCTCTTTGACAATTTAAAAAGCTAAAAAGTGATCACTTTCTAAAGTGATCTTTAAGCCTTACAAGAGGAAAACACCGAAAAGAATTTGTTTTTAAGAAAAAAAGGAAAACCAAGAAGGAAGAAAAACCAAAAAAAATGAGATTTTAATTCTTTGCTGTACCTGTAAACGCCTCCTGCATGACGGCACAAAAACTGTAGACGTCCGACTTGAAAGTCGCCGTCCGCTCCAGGATCACTTCCGGGGCGCACCACTTGTACAGCTGGGGAGGGATGGGCACCCGTGTCAGGTCGCTGTGCTCCCCTCCGTCTTTGCTGCCGACACGGGAAGATGATGCTCAGGGTTGGGGAAGAACAGGTAGCCCCCCCACCCACCCACTTGGGGGCCGAGATCACCGTCCTTTGGAGATCTCTCTAGAGGTGGGTTTCAGCAGGTTTTGACCAAACCTGGAGAACCGGTAGCGGAAATTTTGAGTAGTTCGGAGAACCGGTAAATACCATCTCTGGCTGGCCCCGTCCCCGTCTATTCTCTGCCTCCCGAGTCCCAGCTGATCGGGAGGGAATGGGGATTTTGCAGTAACCTTCCTCTGCCACGCCCACCAAGCCACGCCTACCAAGCCACGCCATGACCACAGAACCGGTAGTAAAAAAATGTGAATCCCACCACTGGTAGGTTTCACGCAAGGGTGAAATCCAGCAGGTTCTGACAGGTTCTGGAGAACCGGTAGTGGAAATGTTGAGTAGTTCGGAGAACCGGCAAATACCACCTCTGGCTGGTCCCAGAGTGGGGTGGGAATGGAGATTTTGCAATATCCTTCCCCCAGGAGTGGGGAGGGAATGGGGGTTTTGCAGTATCTTTCCCCTGCCACGCCCACGAAGCCACGCCCACCAAGCCACACCACACCCACCAAGCCACGCCCACAGAGCTAGTAGTAAAACAATTTTGATTTCACCACTGGTTTCACATACGTTTACCACCGGTTCGCCACACCGAAAATGTGAGTGCACACATGCGCTTTGCTTGCATGCACGCGGCTTAGAAAATGTGGCTAAATAGGATGGCACAGCACTGGGGCAGGTGGGTGCCCACCCGCAGGTCGCCCCTACTGATTCACCCGAACTGGTCCGAACCAGCTGAACCCCACCACTGGATCTCTCGCATCCTGGAGATGGAGGACGAAAGGGGACTGTGTGAGGGTATGAGGGAAAGACATTGGGAGACCGAAGCTGAGAGACTCAGCCGAGGGAACAATCAGAGAAGAGACAGCTTAGCCCTCTGCTCCATAAGGGACAGGGAAAGAGAAGGGACCCTCCCTAGTTTCTCAGGGAGTAAAGGAGACGGGAGGGAGGGAGGGCGGTACTTTCAGACTTAACAAGACCGAGGTTGGCTGCGCCGAGTCAACCAGATTGGAATCGCAACCCAATGGGCGAAATCTAGTTTATTGTAAAGCTATATTGTCAGAATCTGGGATGGGGATGGGGAAGGGAAGGAAAAGGGAGGGAGGAATGGAAGATAGAAAAGTGGGAAGAAAGGAAAGAGGAAAGGAAGGAAAGGAAGAAAAGGAAGAAAAGAGAGGGAGGAAAGAACAGGGAAGGGAAGGGAAGAGAAGAGTAATAAGAAGGGAAGGAAAGGGAAGGAAAGGAAAGGAAAAGGGAGGGAGGAATGGAAGATAGAAAAGTGGGAAGAAAGGAAAGAGGAAAGAAAGGAGAAGGGAAGGAAAGGAAAGGAAGAAAAGAGAGGGAGGAAAGAACAGGGAAGGGAAGGGAGAAGAGTAATAAGAAGGGAAGGGAAGGGAAGGAAAAGGGAGGGAGGAATGGAAGATAGAAAAGTGGAAAGAAAGGAAAGAGGAAAGGAAGGAGAAAGGAAGAAAAGAGAGGGAGGAAAGAACAGGGAAGGAAGGGAAGAGAAGAGTAATAAGAATAGAATGGAAGGAAAGGAAAGGAAAGGAAAGGAAAGGAAAGGAAAGGAAAGGAAAGGAAAGGAAAAGGGAGGGAGGAATGGAAAATAGAAAAGTGGGAAGAAAGGAAAGAGGAAAGGAAGGAGAAAGGAAGAAAAGAAAGGAAGAAAAGAGAGGGAGGAAAGAACGGAAGAGAAGGGAGGAGAAGAGTAGTAAGAATGGAAGGGAAGGGAAGGAAAAGGGAGGGAGGAATGGAAGATAGAAAAGTGGAAAGAAAGGAAAGAGGAAAGGAAGGAGAAGGGAAGGAAAGAGAAGAGAAGAGAGAAAAATTTAGGAAGAGAAAGGAATGTAAATTGAAGGAACACAGAACAAAGAAATAACAAAGTTAGAAGGGACCTTGGAGGTCCTCTAGTCCAACCCCCTGTTCAAGCACGAGACGTCTATACCATTTCTGACAAATGTCTATCCAGTCTCTTCCTCCTTGAAGGGAAGGGAGGGCAAGAGAAGAGAGGGGAGGGGAGGGAAAGGACACTGGAGAAAAAGGGAGGGGAGGGAAGGGGAGGGGAGGCGGTGTGGGCTTACCTTTCAATCATATGCTCCAGGTTGGTCAGCTTCGCTTCCCCAGTCAGAACAATCACCACGGCGTAGGAGCTGAGGGTCCGGTGGATGAAGCCACGCAGGTGGAGGTACCGGAGGGCGTCGCTCACCTGGATCAGCAGGTGCACAATCGTTTCCATTTGCAACACCGGGAACTCGGAGCGCTAGAGCAGGCGATGGGGAGGGGCGAGAAGGAGGAAGGGAAAGAAAATAAACATTTGATTGATTGATTGATTGATTGACTGATTGGTTTGATTTATATGCCGCCCTTCTCCGGAGACTAAGGGTGGCTACAAGACTTTGAAACACCCCCCCCCTCAAAGTCCAAAGGGAGATGGGCAGTGCAGAAACATTGCAAGGGCACAGGTAAATTGTTATTAAATGTTTCGTGCTTTTTAAAAGAACATTTTTGTAATATTTTATTCATACCATTTTGTATTTTTAATTATTGCAAGCCGTCCCAGAGTTACCCTGCAGTAAGGTGAATTGATAATAAATTTAAATAATAACAACAATAACAATAATTGGGCCTGGGTAGTCTAGTGAAGAGAAGGACCAGGGGAAACACGATAGTAGCAGTCTTCCAATATTTGAGGGGCTGCCACAGAGAGGAGGGGGTCAAGCTATTCTCCAAAGCACCTGAAGGTCAGACAAGGAATAATGGATGGAAACTGAAAAAGGAGAGATTCAACTTGGAAATAAGGAGAAATTTTATGACAGTGAGAAACAATCAACCCATGGATCAGAAGTTGCCTTTGGAAGTTGTGGGAGCTTCATCACTGGAGGCTTCCAAGAGACTGGGCTGCCATCTGTCAGAAAGAGTGTAGGGTTGTAATGGCGAACCTATGGCACACGTGCCACAGCTGGCACACAGAGGCCTCTCTGCGGGCACGCGAGCCGTCACCCAGCTCAGTTCTACCACGCATGTGTGCGCACACGCCTCCTGCCGGACAGCTGATTTTCAAGATGTGCGGGGAGCGGGTCGCATGTAGGAGATGAGTGCGCATGCACGGCGGGGGAGGGGGGTCGCGCGCACATGGATGGGGGCAGGGGTGGAGCGCGGGGGGGTGCGGTGTGCCTCCCACGGCCCGTATTTGGGCCCAGGAGGCTGCAGGGAGGCCTGCTAGGCCTAAAATGGAGTGGGGGATGCGCGACCCACCCCCCACGGCCCGTTTTGGGCCCAGGAGGCTGCAGGGAGACCTGCTAGGCCCAAAATGGGGGTGGGGGACTCGCGACCCACCCCCCACGGCCTGTATTTGGGCCCAGGAGGCTGCAGGGAGGCCTGCTAGGCCCAAAATGGGGCAGGGGATCTGTGACCCACCTCCCCACGGCCTGTTTTTGAGCCCAGGAGGCTGCAGGGAGGCCTGCTGGGCCCAAAATGGGGCAGGGGATGCACAACCCACCCCTCACGGCCCGTTTTTGGGCCCAGGAGGTTGCAGGGAGGCCTGCTGGGCCCAAAATGGGGCAGGGGATGTGTGACCCACCTCCTCACGGCCTGTTTTTGAGCCCAGGAGGCTGCAGGGAGGCCTGCTAGGCCAAAAACGGGGGCGGGGGGTCACGCACAGGGGTCGCATGGGGGTGGTCGTCCATTCATGCGCAGGGGGGCGCACATTGCATTAGGGGTGCCGGCACTTTCAGTACACGATGAGAAAAAGGTTAGCCATCACTGGTGTAGTGTCTCCTGCTTGGGCGGGGGGTTGGACTAAATGACCTCCAAGGTCCCTTCCAACTCTGTTAAACTATCTAAGGGACTCTCTTCTGCAGATAGAATTGGCCTGCTATTTTCTAATGTGGCCAGGAGAGGGTGCTGCTCTCACTCCCAGAATTGCCCAGCCAGCATGCTTTTAAGATGGGTGGACTCCCACTCCCAGAATCCCTCAGCTATAGCAAGCTTTCCCAAGGATGGACTTCAATTCCCAGAATTCCCCAGTTAGGAGGAGGCCACAAGTCTCTGCAATGTATGGACAACACAGCTAAGAGGCAAGGAGACAATTGCTAGAGAAGAACTAAAAATTCTGGTGAAGCACTAAATTTGTAGGCTGGATTGGGGCGGGCAACTATGGCCCCTTTAAGACCTGTGGACTTCAACTCCCAGAATTCCTGAGCCAGCCATGCTGGCTCAGGAATTCTGGGAGTTGAAGTCCACAGGTCTTAAAGGGGCCATAGTTGTCCTTCCCAAGGCTGAATCCAGGCGGAAACACCCCTTTAAATCCGGGACCTTCCATTCAGCACACTGTCCTACCTCGCAGGGTTGTTCACAGACAAGAAATAGAGGTGTTCGCTGCTCAGGTGGGACGCGACACCCACAAAGAAGCTCTTAGGAAGACGCAAGGTTTACCCTCTCGTGAAGGATGCTGTAGAGAGACCCAAAATTCACCCTCTCGAACACCAGCCGGGTCTTCTCCAAGTCGCTGGACAGACAGACGGCCATCAGCAGCAGCAGGTGAGGGTGGTGGAGCTGGCTGCAAAGCGGGAAGAGAGGACCCCGTTTGGCAGAGAAAACCCGCAACCCAAAAGTCCCTCTCATTGCGGGGGGGGGGGGGGGCTGCAAGAGTGGTGCGGTGGCCGAGAGGCGGAGCTCTCGCCTCACAATCAGGAGGCCGCGAGTTCGATCCTAGGTAAGAGGCAGATAATTTCTCTCTCCGGGCACCATGAAAATATATCTGCCGAATGTAACTCCGCATTGGCAACAGGAAAAGCATCCGGCCAGTAAAACACTCAGTTGCCCAGAACTCTATCCCGCAAGGGATTACGGGGTCATTAAAAGATGATGATGATTGCGGGGGCCGTGCAAACCCCATCCTGAACGCACAACTGTGTGGCTTTACACACAAACACACACACACAAGGTGCGCACCTGCTATACTCCTGCTCAGCCAAAAGGAGGTCGGAGAGACGCAGTTTGCTGCAATGTTGGTGAGGCTGGATATTCAGCTCCTTCACCGTCACACGGCTGCCACCCCACATCAGGCTGTGGGGAGAAAGAAGGGAGTGTCGGTTTTGCCCACAATGCGCTGGACGTATGCCTTGCAGGAGGGAAAGGCGAGAATAGGCCGAACTGGAAGAGTAGGCCGAAGTGGGAGAAACCAGGTTAAATTAGGATGGGGGAGTAGCACGACGATAACCCTGGAAGGTAGGCAGGTAGGTGGGTTGGGCAGGGAGCAGAGGCTGGGTTTGGCTGGGCAGCCTGGCCCGGGGGGGGCGGGGTGCCACGTCTTCACCTGGCGTTAGTGCCAGGTCCTATCTCTGCTTTGAAGGTCATATGGTGGACACTTACTTGGTCATGTTCATGTAGGGCCCAGTGGAGAAAGAGAATGTGGGCTCATCATCGGCCTGAACCACTTCTTTATCGGCGATGATGGGAAGGGAAGCTAGGTAGCCCAGCTGCCTCTTGCTGTTGAGAAAAAACTGGAGGGAGGGAGAAAGAAAAAAGGAAGGAGAAAAGAGGGAGGGAAGGAAGGAAAGGAAGGGTGAGAAAAGAGAGCGAGAAAGGGTAGGAGGAAAGGAAAGTGGAGGAAAGGAAACGGAAGGAAAGAAAAGGGAAGGGAAATGAAAAAGAAGGGAGGAAGGAAGGAGAAAAGAGGGGAAAAGAGAAGAAGAAGAAAAAGGAAGGAGAAAAGAGGGAGGGAAGGAAGGAAGGAAGGAAGGAAGGGTGAGAAAAGAGAGCGAGAAAGGATAGGAGGAAAGGAAAGTGGAGGAAAGGAAACGGAAGGAAAGAAAAGGGAAGGGAAATGAAAAAGAAGGGAGGAAGGAAGGAGAAAAGAGGGGAAAAGAGAAGAAGAAAAAAAAGGAAGGAGAAAAGAGGGAGGGAAGGAAGGAAGGGTGAGAAAAGAGAGCGAGAAAGGGTAGGAGGAAAGGAAAGTGGAGGAAAGGAAACGGAAGGAAAGAAAAGGGAAGGGAAATGAAAAAGAAGGGAGGAAGGAAGGAGAAAAGAGGGGAAAAGAGAAGAAGAAAAAAAAGGAAGGAGAAAAGAGGAAGGAAAGGAAGGAAGGGTGAGAAAAGAGAGCGAGAAAGGGTAGGAGGAAAGGAAAGTGGAGGAAAGGAAACGGAAGGAAAGAAAAGGGAAGGGAAATGAAAAAGAAGGGAGGAAGGAAGGAGAAAAGAGGGGAAAAGAGAAGAAGAAAAAAAAGGAAGGAGAAAAGAGGGAGGGAAGGAAGGAAAGGAAGAATGAATGAATGAATGAAAACAAACAAAAGGGAAGGAGAATGGAGAAAGGTAGGAGGAAGAAGAGTGAGGGATGAAAGGAAAGAAATGGAGAAAAGAAAAACAGGAAGGGAAGGAAGGGTGAGAAAAGAGTGAAAAAGGAAAGAAAGGAAAGGAAGATAAGGAGGAAAGAAGGAGAAAAGAGGGGGAAGAGAAGAAGAAAGGAAGAAAGGAAAGGAAGGATAAGAGGGGGAAGGAAGGAAAGGAAGGAAAGAAAGAAAGAATGAATAAAACAAAGAGGTAGGTAGGAGAATGGAGAAACATCCCTCAGGAAGGAAAGAAAGGAAGGAAAGAAAGAAATGGAAGGAAAGAAAGAAATGGAGAAAGGAAAAAACAGAGGGGAGGAAGGAGAGTGAGAAAAGAGGAATGAGAAATGGATAGAAGAGGGAGAGAAGAGAGGAAAGAAAGAAAGAAAGAAAGAGAGAGAGAGAGAGAGAGAGAAAGAAAGAAAGAAAGAAAGAAAGAAAGAAAGAAAGAAAGAAAGAAAGAAAGAAAAAGAAGCAAAGAGAGAAGGGAGGAAGAATTGAGAAGAACTGGAAGCAGCATCCTACAAGGAAGACTTGAGATGGGATTTAACAGCATTCTCACTCCCAAGAGTTTTGTATGTAAGAATGTGAAGATCTATACAGCTAGTCCTTAACTTTCCACAACTGGGACCAGAATTTCTGTCACTAACCAAGGCAGTCACTAAGAGAGTTGCACATGATTTTATAACCCTTTTTGCTGCAGTCGGTGTTTTCACTGAGCATGTTTTACAGTGTTTAAAATTATTTTCTCAGGAGCCGCCCAGAGTTATCCTAAGGACATGTGGCTATATAAATGTTATTAATTAATTAATTAATTAATTAATTGGAAGGTATTTTAGCGATCACCACAAGAACATCTTGCCTATTTCAAGATGGCCTCTCTTCGAAGACCTCAAAAAAATCCAAAAAAGTGCTGCTTCACATCATGTGGCAGTCTGTTCCACCGGCTAACAGCTTGTAATTTCAGGAAATCCTCTTTGAGGGCCACCAAAATCCACTTCCTTGGACTTTCACACCATTTTGGGCAGTCTTCACAAAGCCCCTTATGGGACACTTGACTGTCGTGTTGTGCGTACACACCCTGAATGCATGGAGGCCACACAATCTCCGCCATCTTGAAGCTGTCCTCTTACCTTCCCAAAGCCGAAACTGAAGATGCTTTGCGACATGCTGCTCACACGTTTCATGAACCTCCCAAGTGGGCTGTCAGCTGCCCTGAAGCACAAGAGGGAGAATTGTGAGGGGGATTTTGGGAAATGGGATGGAGTAGCCACGAACAAGAGAGTTTTGTGTTTCCTTAGGAAAATTATTATTTTTAAAAATAGACAAACATACTTATTTTCTACTTATTACTAACCCTACGATATCTTACACTATATCTATGCTAACATCTAGGCCTAGAGCCATTTTAAAAGGGGTAGACTTCAACTCCCAGAATTCCCCAGCAAGCATGCTTTAAGAGGGGTGGACTTCCACTCCCAGAATCCCCCAGCCAGCATGCTTTAAGAGGGGTGGACTTCCACTCCCAGAATCCCCCAGCCAGCATGCTTTAAGATGGGTGGACTTCCACTCCCAGAATCCTCCAGCCAGCATGCTTTAAGAAGGGTGGACTTCCACTCCCAGAATCCCCCAGCCAGCATGTTTTAAGAGGGATGGACTTCCACTCCCAGAATCCCCCAGCCAGCATGCTTTAAGAGGGGTGGACTTCCACTCCCAGAATCCCCCAGCCAGCATGCTTTAAGATGGGTGGACTTCCACTCCCAGAATCCCCCAGCCAGCAGGTTTTAAGAGGGATGGACTTCCACTCCCAGAATCCCCCAGCCAGCATGCTTTAAGAGGGGTGGACTTCCACTCCCAGAATCCCCCAGCCAGCATGCTTTAAGATGGGTGGACTTCCACTCCCAGAATCCCCCAGCCAGCATGCTTTAAGATGGGTGGACTTCCCACTCCCAGAATTCCCCAGCCAGCATGCTTTAAGAGGGGTGGACTTCCACTCCCAGAATCCCCCAGCCAGCATGCTTTAAGAGGGGTGGACTTCCACTCCCAGAATCCCCCAGCCAGCATGCTTTAAGAGGGGTGGATTTCCACTCCCAGAATCCCCCAGCCACAATGCTTTAAGAAGGGTGGACTTCCCACTCCCAGAATTCCCCAGCCAGCATGCTTTAAGAGGGGTGGACTTCCACTCCCAGAATCCCCCAGCCAGCATGCTTTAAGAGGGGTGGACTTCCACTCCCAGAATCCCCCAGCCAGCATGCTTTAAGAGGGGTGGACTTCCACTCCCAGAATCCCCCAGCCAGCAGGTTTTAAGAGGGATGGACTTCCACTCCCAGAATCCCCCAGCCAGCATGCTTTAAGATGGGTGGACTTCCACTCCCAGAATCCCCCAGCCAGCATGTTTTAAGAGGGGTGGACTTCCACTCCCAGAATTCCACAGGCAGCATGCTTTAAGAGGGGTGGACTTCCACTCCCAGAATCCCCCAGCCAGCATGTTTTAAGAGGGGTGGACTTCCACTCCCAGAATCCCCCAGCCAGCATTCTTTAAGATGGGTGGACTTCCACTCCCAGAATCCCCCAGCCAGCAAGCTTTAAGAGGGATGGACTTCCACTCCCAGAATCCCCCAGCCAGCATGCTTTAAGAGGGGTGGACTTCCACTCCCAGAATCCCCCAGCCAGCATGCTTTAAGATGGGTGGACTTCCACTCCCAGAATCCCCCAGCCAGCAAGCTTTAAGAGGGATGGACTTCCACTCCCAGAATCCCCCAGCCAGCATGCTTTAAGAGGGGTGGACTTCCACTCCCAGAATCCCCCAGCCAGCATGCTTTAAGATGGGTGGACTTCCACTCCCAGAATCCCCCAGCCACAATGCTTTAAGAAGGGTGGACTTCCCACTCCCAGAATTCCCCAGCCAGCATGCTTTAAGAGGGGTGGACTTCCACTCCCAGAATCCCCCAGCCAGCATGCTTTAAGAGGGGTGGACTTCCACTCCCAGAATCCCCCAGCCAGCATGCTTTAAGAGGGGTGGACTTCCACTCCCAGAATCCCCCAGCCAGCAGGTTTTAAGAGGGATGGACTTCCACTCCCAGAATCCCCCAGCCAGCATGCTTTAAGATGGGTGGACTTCCACTCCCAGAATCCCCCAGCCAGCATGTTTTAAGATGGGTGGACTTCCACTCCCAGAATCCCCCAGCCAGCAAGCTTTAAGAGGGATTGACTTCCACTCCCAGAATCCCCCAGCCAGCATGCTTTAAGAGGGGTGGACTTCCACTCCCAGAATCCCCCAGCCAGCATGCTTTAAGATGGGTGGACTTCCACTCCCAGAATCCCCCAGCCAGCAAGCTTTAAGAGGGATGGACTTCCACTCCCAGAATCCCCCAGCCAGCATGCTTTAAGAGGGGTGGACTTCCACTCCCAGAATCCCCCAGCCAGCATGCTTTAAGAGGGGTGGACTTCCACTCCCAGAATCCCCCAGCCAGCATGCTTTAAGAGGGGTGGACTTCCACTCCCAGAATCCCCCAGCCAGCAGGTTTTAAGAGGGATGGACTTCCACTCCCAGAATCCCCCAGCCAGCATGCTTTAAGATGGGTGGACTTCCACTCCCAGAATCCCCCAGCCAGCATGTTTTAAGATGGGTGGACTTCCACTCCCAGAATCCCCCAGCCAGCATGCTTTAAGATGGGTGGACTTCCACTCCCAGAATCCCCCAGCCAGCATGTTTTAAGAGGGGTGGACTTCCACTCCCAGAATCCCCCAGCCAGCATTCTTTAAGATGGGTGGACTTCCACTCCCAGAATCCCCCAGCCAGCATGTTTTAAGAGGGGTGGACTTCCACTCCCAGAATCCCCCAGCCAGCATGCTTTAAGAGGGGTGGACTTCCACTCCCAGAATCCCCCAGCCAGCATGCTTTAAGAGGGGTGGACTTCCACTCCCAGAATCCCCCAGCCAGCATGCTTTAAGAGGGGTGGACTTCCACTCCCAGAATTCCCCAGCCAGCATGCTTTAAGAGGGGTGGACTTCCACTCCCAGAATCCCCCAGCCAGCATTCTTTAAGAGGGGTGGACTTCCACTCCCAGAATCCCCCAGCCAGCATGCTTTAAGAGGGGTGGACTTCCAATCCCAGAATCCCCCAGCCAGCATGCTTTAAGAGGGGTGGACTTCCACTCCCAGAATTCCCCAGCCAGCATGCTTTAAGAGGGGTGGACTTCCACTCCCAGAATCCCCCAGCCAGCATGCTTTAAGAGGGGTGGACTTCCACTCCCAGAATCCCCAGCCAGCATGCTTTAAGAGGGGTGGACTTCCACTCCCAGAATTCCCCAGCCAGCATGCTTTAAGAGGGGTGGACTTCCACTCCCAGAATCCCCCAGCCAGCATGCTTTAAGATGGGTGGACTTCCACTCCCAGAATCCCCCAGCCAGCATGTTTTAAGAGGGGTGGACTTCCACTCCCAGAATCCCCCAGCCAGCATGCTTTAAGAGGGGTGGACTTCCACTCCCAGAATCCCCCAGCCAGCATGCTTTAAGAGGGGTGGACTTCCACTCCCAGAATCCCCCAGCCAGCATGCTTTAAGAGGGGTGGACTTCCACTCCCAGAATTCCCCAGCCAGCATGCTTTAAGAGGGGTGGACTTCCACTCCCAGAATCCCCCAGCCAGCATTCTTTAAGATGGGTGGACTTCCACTCCCAGAATCCCCCAGCCAGCATGCTTTAAGAGGGGTGGACTTCCACTCCCAGAATCCCCCAGCCAGCATGCTTTAAGAGGGGTGGACTTCCACTCCCAGAATCCCCCAGCCAGCATGCTTTAAGAGGGGTGGACTTCCACTCCCAGAATTCCCCAGCCAGCATGCTTTAAGAGGGGTGGACTTCCACTCCCAGAATCCCCCAGCCAGCATGCTTTAAGAGGGGTGGACTTCCACTCCCAGAATCCCCAGCCAGCATGCTTTAAGAGTGGTGGACTTCAATTCCCAGAATTCCCCAGCCAGCATGGGCATTTTGGGACATTTTGCTTGGAAATCTCCTCCTCATCACACACACACCCCAGGACTGCTGGCTTATTATGGGATAGTGAAAATCCAGAGTTCCTTTGACTTACCCTTGAGTAAACCCCCCAAACTTGGAGGGGCTGTGGACCAGGGCCCGGGGGGAGTCCACTTTCCTTAATAAATCCAAGGACTGATTCTGCAGGACGACTTGCATGTGAGTGGTACAGCGCTGGATAAATTCGAGCATCTGAAAGCAAAACCGCAGTCCAACAGGTAAAGCTGTGGGTTCCGTGCAAAGCTGAAATTAGTTTCCCCCCCCCCCAGGAAAAAGGGGCAGGAGGGAAGGACCACTTTTGAAAAACACGGAAAGGTGGGGGGGGGTAGACTGCTGGGTTAAATTTTTTAAAGCAAGGATATCTTAAGCTTGATAACTTTTAAGATTTGTGCACTTCAATTCCCAGAATTACCCAGTCAGCATAAACTCGAAAGTATTTTGTGTGCTGCTGATTAATTAGAGAGTTTCCAGAACGCCTAAATTATTAAGAAAAATTCTCTGTGTTACATTTCTTGAACAAAACAATAGAAATAGAAATAGAAAAGAAATAAGAATGGAATGGAATGGAATGGAATGGAACGGAATAGAAAATATGGAATGGAATGGAATGGAATTGAACGGAACAGAAAATATGGAATGGAATGGAATAGAATAGAAAATATGGGAATGGAATGGAATAGAATAGAATAGAAAATATGGAATGGAATGGAATGGAATGGAATAGAATAGAATAGAAAATATGGACTGGGCTAGACTGGACTGGACTAGACTGGACTGAACTGGAATAGAATAGAATAGAATAGAAAATATGGAATGGAATGGAATGGACTGGAATAGAATAGAATAGAAAATACGGAATAGAATAGAATAGAATAGAAAATATGGAATGGAATGGAATGGAATAGAATAGAATAGAAAATATGGAATGGAATGGAACAAGAGTAGAAAATATGGAATGGAATAGAATAGAAAATATGGGAATGGCATGGCATGGCATAGAATAGAATAGAAAATATGGAATGGAATCGAATGGAATAGAATAGAAAATATGGACTGGACTAGACTGGACTGGAATGGAATAGAATAGAAAATATGGAATGGAATGGAATGGAATAGAATAGAAAATATGGAATGGAATAGAATGGAATGGAATAGAATGGAATAGAACAGAAAATATGGAATGGAATGGAATAGAAAATATGGGATGTAATAGGATAGGATAGGATAGGATAGGATAGGATGTGGAACGGAGCGGAGCGGAGCAGAGCAGAATTCTTTATTGGCCAAGCATGATTGGACACACAAGGAATTTGTCTTCGGTGCATAAGCTCACATTGCACATAAAAGCTATAAGACATAAATCACAATCATAGTCATCGTAAAAATACATTCATCATAAATCGTAAGATACAACACTTGGGGATAGCCATAGGATACTAAATAAGCCATCAACACAAATCGTACTTAGGAAACTAAATAAAACCAATATAAATCGTAAAGATACAAAGCAACAGCCGTTAAGTAGAAAAAGGAGATAGGTAATAGGAAGGATGATAAGAAGAATAGTAACGCAGCCTGACTAAATAGTTTGTCAGTGTTGTGGGAATGAGTTGTTGAGCAGAGGGATGGCATGGGGGGGGAAATGGCATAGCACGAAAGGAAAAAAAAAGGGTTGAGGGAGGAAGAGGAAAATGAAGCGGTCCAAATATCCATCTCCCAGTTTTTAATTCAGTGGGAGTTTTTTTAACCACCATACTCCATTTTTTGCTCACTTCCTCCCAAATGCTACAAAACTTAATCCACAAGCCAGTGGTGAAATCCAATTTTTTTTACTACCGCTTCTATGGGTCTGGCTTGGTGGGCGTGGCTGGGGAAGGATACTGCAAAATCCTCATTCCCTCCCCACTCCTGGGGGAAGGATACTTCAAAATCCCCATTCCCTCCCCATTCCTCGGGAAGGATACTACAAAATCCCCATTCCCTTCCCATTCCTGGGGGAAGGATACTGCAAAATCTCCATTCCCACCCCACTTCTGGGGGAAGGATACTGCAAAATCCTCATTCCCTCCCCACTCCTGGGGGAAGGATACTGCAAAATCCCCATTCCCTCCCCACTCCTGGGGGAAGGATACTGCAAAATCCCCATTCCCTTCCCCACTCCTCGGGAAGGATACTGCAAAATCTCCATTCCCACCCCACTCCTGGGGGAAGGACACTGCAAAATCTCCATTCCCACACCACTCCAGGGGAAGGATACTGCAAAATCTCCATTCCCACACCACTCCGGGGCCAGCCAGAAGTGGTATTTGCCGGTTCTCCAAACTGCTCAAAATTTCCCCTACCGGTTCGTCAGAACCTGTCAGAACCTGCTGGATTTCACCCCTACCACAAGCTTCCCAATGGCACATCGTTAAACGCACGTCACGACATACCTGTGCGCTACTTTCCTTCCCTGCCGTCATGGCCCAGCTTTGCGGGGTCCTCCCATCCTTGTCGTGGAGTCGCAGGTCCCCGCCTGCGTCCAGTAGTTTGCTAAGAATGAACTGGCTTCCTGAAAAGGCCGCGGCATGGACAGGGGTGCTCCCGTCGTAACAACGGCTGAAATCACAACAACAAAGCCGTGAACTTCACGCGTGATTTCGCTACTTCCTCTAACTCTCTAAAGCACATTCTTTTACAGATCATCCTCGACTTACAACGGCAATTGATCCCCAAATATTTCCACTGCTAAGCAAGACAGCTGTTATGTGAGTTTTGCCCCATTTTACAAGCTTTCTGGCCACAGTTGTTAAGTGGATCGCGGCAGTTGTTAAGTTAGAAACACGGTTGTTAAGGGAATCCGGCTTCCCCATGGACTTTGGTTGCCAGAAGTTCGTAAAAAGGGGATCACGTGATCCCAGAACACTGCAACCGTCATAAATATGAGCCAGCTGCCAAATGTCTTTACTTGTAAGTTGAAGCTTACAAGTGAAGAAAAGTAGAATTAAAAGTAAAAATAAAAGTAGAAGTAGTAGAAGTAGAAGTAAAAGTAGTAGAAGTAGATGTAAAGGAAAAGTATTAGTAGTAGTAGAAGTACTAGTAGTAGTAGGTAGTAGTAGAAGTAAAAGAAGTAGAAGTAAAAGTAGTAGTAAAAGTAGTAGTAGAAATAAAAGTAAAAGCAGAAGTAAAAGTAGAAGTAGAAGTCGAAGTAAAAGTAATAGAAGTAGATGTAAAGGAAAAGTATAAGTAGTAGTAGTAGAAGTAGTAGGTAGTAGAAGTAAAAGAAGTAGAAGTAGAAGTAAAAGTAGAAGTAGATGTACAGGAAAAGTATAAGTAGTAGTAATAGAAGTAGTAGTAGTAGAAGTAGTAGGTAGTAGTAGAAGTAAAAGAAGAAGTAAAAGTAGTAGTAGAAGTAGAAGTAAAAACAGAAGTAAAAGTAGAAGTAGAAGAAAAAGTAGTAGTAATAAAGTAAAAGTAATAGTAGTAGAAGTAAAATAAGAAGTAAAAGTAGTAGTAAAAGTAAAAGTAGAAGTAGTAGTAGTAGTAGAAATAGTAGGTAGTAAAAGTAGAAGTAACAGTAGAAGTAGAAGTGAAAGAAGAAGTAGTAGTAGTAGAAGTAGTAGAAGAAGTAGTAGTAGAAGTAAAAGGAAAAGTAGAGGTAGAAGAAGTAAAAGTAGAAGTAAAAAAACAAAACCTGGAAGAATCTTCAGGAGGAAGTTAACAAAGTTAACAAGAATGGGGTAATTTTTTTTATTATGCGGTGGATTTTTAAGTGTTGTAAGCCACACATAGTTGATCATGTGTGAGTTGGGCAGGCTTATAAATGTGCTTAGTAAAGCATAATAAATAATGTCATTAATTAATTTTTAAAAATCTAGATGGGGTCGCAGCACCTGCTACTAGGGCAGGGTTCCAATCCTGCAGCCGACACCCCCATCCTTAACTTTTCTGATCCCCGTTGGGATACCGCAAATTCCCCTTCGGAGACGGCCCGCCCTCTGGTTCACATGAGCCCCGAGGGAGAAGCGAAGAGTAGGGTTTCCTCATACTTTCCTCAGAACCACAAAATAATTTTGTTCAAAAAAAGAAAGAAAGAAAAAACTAACTTCACCTGAATCCCGCTTCTTCTCACCCATTTATGTCTCGTACTTACTGGTTTGGGTCCGACCCATAATCCAACAGGATATCCACCAGTTTCCCCAGTCCGAGCAAGGCGGCGGTGAAGAGTGGAGTTTGTCCTAAGGAGTTGACCGACTGGGTGGCGATTCCTAACAGAACAAGAGGAGGAGAAACTTCAACTTCAACTTTATTTCTTCATTCAATGTTATGCTGCCCATCTTCCCTACAAGGTCTGAATCCTGTTAGGGAAATATAGAATATAATACAGAATAATAAAGAGTTGGAAGGGACCCTGGAGGTCTTCTAGTCCAACCCCAAGCAGGCAAACCTATATCTGTGATGGCGAACCTATGACACGCGTGCCACAGGTGGCATGTGGAGCCGTATCGGTGGGCATGCAAGCATTGCCCTAACTCAGCTCCAGTGCACATGCATGTGCTGGCTAGCTGATTTTCGGGCCTTCTAGTCCTACCAGAAGCCAGGAAACAGGTCTTGTCTGGCCTCCGGGTGGGGAAGGCTGTTTTCACCCTCCCCAGGCTTCAGAAAAGCCTCTGGAGCCTGGGGAGGGCAAAAAACAAGCCTACCGTGCCAAAAGTGGGGGGAGCCGGGGAGGGGGGGGGTCGTACGCGCATGCACAGTGTGTGAGGTGCAATGAATTATGGGTGTGGGCACGCAGGCGCACGACCGCCCTGCGTTCCCCCCACCTTGGCACGCGACGGCAAAAAGGTTAGCCATCAGTGAGCTATACGATTTCATCAAGATTTTCTAAAGCTTTGGACTTTGGCTCCCATAATCCACTAGCCACCCAGCCATTCATGTCTCTCCCGGATTGGAATACCGAGTAAAGTATAGAGGTTAGTCCTTGATTTACGACAACTTCTTTAGTGATCATTCGAAGTTCCGACAGACCCCCCACCCGCCAAAAAAACCCCCCACATACTTATGATCCAGATTCAAAATTCGATGGCCAATACTCCTCTCCCACAGTCACATGATTTGATTTGGAGTGCTCAGCATCTAAGGCGATCCTGCGCTCATGGGAACATGATTTATTATGTGTTTGACATTTTGTTTGCCCCCTTGTACATATGAGCCAGCCTTGGGGGTAAGGAACCAGACTAGAAAGCCAAGACCGGGAGTTCTAGTCCTGCCTTAGGCACGAAAGCTGACTGGGTGTCTTTGGGCCAATCACCAGGAGACTGTGAGTTCTAGTCCTGCCTTAGGCATGAAAGCCAATTGGGTGATTTTGGGCCAATCATCAGGAGACTGAGTTCTAGTCCAGCCTTAGGCATGAAAGCTGACTGGGTGTCTTTGGGCCAATCATCAGGAGACTGTGAGTTCTAGTCCAGCCTTAAGCATGAAAGCTGACTGGGTGCCTTTGGGCCAATCATCAGGAGACTGTGAGTTCTAGTCCTGCCTTAGGCATGAAAGCCAATTGGGTGATTTTGGGCCAATCATCAGGAGACTGTGAGTTCTAGTCCAGCCTTAGGCATGAAAGCTGACTGGGTGTCTTTGGGCCAATCATCAGGAGACTGTGAGTTCTAGTCCAGCCTTAAGCATGAAAGCTGACTGGGTGCCTTTGGGCCAATCATCAGGAGACTGTGAGTTCTAGTCCTGTCTTAGGCATGAAAGCTGACTGGGTGTCTTTGGGCCAATCATCAGGAGACTGTGAGTTCTAGTCCTGTTTTAGTCATGAAAGCTGACTGAGTGTCTTTGGGCCAATCATCAGGAGACTGTGAGTTCTAGTCCTGTCTTAGGCATGAAAGCCAATTGGGTGATTTTGGGCCAATCATCAGGAGACTGTGAGTTCTAGTCCAGCCTTAGGCATGAAAGCTGACTGGGTGTCTTTGGGCCAGTCACTTTCAGTCCAACCCACTTCATTGGGTTGTTATGAGAAAAAGGAAAGTTTCTTTGTTATTTGTTAAAACTAATAAAGGTGGGCTATAACAAACAAATAATAGAACAGCACCGCCTTCTTTCCCAAATTAAAAATACTGTGGGCACTGCTCACACAAATGGATCTGTGTGCACGCATGCTCCTGCCACAGACACACACACACACACACACACACACCCCTATGCCAGGCTCCGTCGCCAGAATAGAAAGGTTGGGGACCGCTGGGTTAGCGGAGTTGAAGGGAGTTGGACTGAATTTGCTTGCGGCTATGTAAGGATTCGGGGCTAATACCTCTTTTGACTCCGCCCTCAGGTTCTTCTCATACCTACACTATCTTCCTTAGGGAGGGAGACAGAAACATGCTCAAATCAGGAGTGAAATGCTACCAGTTCGCACTGCGAACTGGTAGCGGCGGCGGCACATGATTTGGAGAACTGGTAGCGGCGGCAGCACAACGCTCCGCCCACCCACCCAGATGTCGTTACTTCCTGGTTTTAACCAGGAAATAACCTGTTTTTGACCCTCTGTGCACGCGCACAAAACTTTGCACATGCGTAGAGGTCCAAAATTGCATGTGATGCGTGCGTGTGCCAAACATGGAGCGCGCACTTCCGAACCAGTAGGGAAAGTAAGTAGATTTCACCCCTGGTTCAAATCCTTTTCTACAGTTCATACGCCTCCGTTTGCTGGGATCGATTCACCAAACCCAGGTAAAAGCAATAGCACGTCAGACTTATATACCGTTTCACAGTACTTTCCACTTCCCGCCAGTCCCTGCTCTTCCATTTCATGATCTGAAATCAGGTTTTTCTGGAAATCCATTACACCCGGTTTCTATCTTTCCAAATATAATGATCCTTCTTATGTATTATGAAGAAAAGGGAGGGAAAAAAACCAGGGGTGAAATGCTCCCGGTTCGGACCGGATTGCCTGATCCGGTAGCGATGGAGGCGGGTGGTTCGGAGAACCGGTAGCAAAAATCCCTGCTCCCCCCCGCATGCCCAGCTGAGCCGTGCAATCATCAGAGGCTTTTTTTTTTTTACTTTTAAAAGCATTTTTTCTACAACCTCTTCGGCCGAAAAAATGCTTTTAAAAGTTAAAAAAAAAAAGCCTCTGATGATCGCGCGGCTCAGTTGGGATCGTCAGAGGCTTTTTTTCTTTTAAAAGCCTCTGACGATCCCAGCTGAGTTTTTTAAAAAGCCTCTGCCGATCAGGAAACTCAGCTGGGATCGTCAGAGGCTTTTGAAAGCATTTTTTACAACCTCTCCGCCGAAGAGGTTCTAGAAAAAATGGTTTTAAAAGTAAAAAAAAAAAAAAAATGGCTACGCCCACCCAGTCACATTACCCACCCACCCCACCAAGCCACGCCCACAGAACTGGTAGTAACAAATTTTAGATTTCACCACTGGAAAAAACCAACTTACAAGATACCTTGAATAGTTTAGTTGTCTTCAGGAGCGTGTCTGTTACAGGGGTGAATCATTTAATAAATAAAACAAATAGATTGAAGCCCCCAGGAATGGAAATGAGCTAATAGTCGTCCTTTTCAATGAACTAAGCCAAATAATAGGAGGAAAGAAATCAAGAAACCGGGTCCAAAAATAGGAATTAGAAATACAGCCGAGTTGGCCAAAATTGGCATTTCACAGGGAGAAATAATAAATTGCTATGTAGATTAAATAATGTAATTGTTAAGATGTTATGGAATGATGAGGACAAAGCAACATTCCTAGGTCAGCCAGAGACAGTTTTATTGCGCAAGGTTCAGAGCCAGTTTTGTGCATGAAGCTTTGAACAACTTATGATTCTGAGACCACAGTTTTATACATTTTCAAACAAAGGATTCTGTTAACTCAGCAGTTTATATGGTCATATACATTTGTTATATTTAACTGACATTTCCTAATTACTAAAGTTTTACATTATCCTTGCCAAACAATCATAATTCTTTTGTAAATTACTGGAGCATAGATTCAAATTATCTTCTGTTGATAGACGACTTCTAGCCCATGTGGATCCCCTTGACCTAACCAACCTTTAAGCTGTATGTCATTAGAATGTTCCTTTCTTCTGACAACTTAGAGGCCTCCTAAAGGTATCAAAAGGATTTTGGCTGAGTTTGTACTTTTTCCAACCGGATGCATTTTCTGCTTTTTAGAATAGAGTGAATAGAAAGTTATCCAGTGGTCATCTATCAGATCCCGCTTCATTTACATTAAAGAGAAATGATACAGAAGTCAGCAAGCCGGACACTTTGCAAGAACGGCAAAGATCACAAAACTAACCTTCCTTGAAACTCGGCATTCTGTGAATACAACCTGCTGAGCCAAAATTTATTTCCCTTCTGCAATTTATTATTGTTTATAAATAACTCAAGAATACATCCAACACACCTTCCTCCTATTTTTCCCACAAAAATCCTGCGAGGTGGGTTGGGCTGAGAAGGAAGAACTGGCCCCAAAGTGACCCAGCCAGCTTTCATGCCTAAATAGGGACTAGAACTCAGTCTCCTGGTGATTGGCCCAAAATTATCCAGTCACAGTTTTCATGCCTAAAGAAGGACTAGAACTCACAGTCTCCTGGTGATTGGCCCAAAATTATCCAGTCACAGTTTTCATGCCTAAAGAGGGACTAGAACCCACAGTCTCCTGGTGATTGGCCCAAAATTATCCAGTCACAGTTTTCATGCCTAAGGAAGGATTAGATCTCACAGTCTCCTGGTGATTGGCCCAAAATTATCCAGTCACAGTTTTCATGCCTAAAGAGGGACTAGAACTCACAGTCTCCTGGTGATTGGTCCAAAATTATCCAGTCACAGCTTTCATGCCTAAGGAAGGATTAGATCTCACAGTCTCCTGGTGATTGGCCCAAAATTATCCAGTCACAGTTTTCATGCCTAAAGAGGGACTAGAACTCACAGTCTCCTGGTGATTGGCCCAAAATTATCCGTCACAGCTTTCATGCCTAAAGAGGGACTAGAACTCAAGTCTCCTGGTGACTGGCCCAAAATTATCCAGTCACAGTTTTCATGCCTAAGGAAGGATTAGATCTCACAGTCTCCTGGTGATCGGCCCAAAATTATCCAGTCACAGTTTTCATGCCTAAAGAGGGACTAGAACTCACAGTCTCCTGGTGATTGGCCCAAAATTATCCAGTCACAGTTTTCATGCCTAAAGAGGGACTAGAACTCACAGTCTCCTGGTGATTGGCCCAAAATTATCCAGTCACAGTTTTCATGCCTAAGGAGGGACT